CTGATTATGCCAGGGCACCTGAGAAGGTGGGGTAGTCACAGAGGAGATGTGCCTGCTGTGCCAGGCAGGTACTTATCAGTTTCTGAAATAAGAAGGCCTTTGCTATGTAATCAGTAAGAACATGTAGCATAGAAGACATTCATTTTCTAAAATACTTTGTCGCTAGATTTGCAAGCTCAGCAAGGTATCAAATCATATCTTTAACAATAAGCTCTAGAAACAGTACAAAATAAATGATAAATTGCCTGCAAAATCCTGAGGCTAATGGGTGGCTTTGCTTTGAAATTCTATGCTTCAAAACTGCAAAATACATGGGTCTTCGCTTTATATCAGCTTTGATTCTTGGAATTTAATGCACAGATGGTGAAACTTGCTTGAATCTAATTTGGCCTAAGCTCAGTTACTCTCAGGCATCTGAGTGTACTGATTTGGTTAAATACCTTGATCAACCTCTCCTGTAGCTTTGCCCATGACCCCCCTGATGGTGGGGCTTCATTTAAGTTTCAACCAGTTGCTGCTGACTTGACTTAGCCCTGTTCCTGAGTTACTGTGTGGGGTTTCTGTATTGACCTTGGTTTATTATTTTGCTTGATGATGACTGGGCTATCACTGCCCTGCCCAGCTTGCTTATTTACCCTACACTGCCAGCATGGCCACCAGCTGGGAGTGGCCCTGTTCCTCCTGCTCCCCAGGAGCTGCACCGATAGACTGCTGTGACTGTACCAGAATGAACTGCAATTACAATGTTTGATTGGATTATAAAGTTTCTTATTTTCTTCTAGCTGCTTAGAAACATAATGTAAATTGTGCTTTTCTTCAGGTACTTCATAATGATCTCCCAGAAGATTTTGCTGCTGCATTAAACAACTACAACAGCAAAACAGAGGAGAACTTTGACTAGTTATGATTGACTGATTCTAGAATGGCTGATATGAAATAAGAATACTGACTTTCCCTTTTAGAAATTGGTACGTTAATATTCTATTTTTAGAAGCAGATACACAGTGTAGTTTCAACAAACTGTTGTATGGATTTGCAAGGTGATAGACCAATTTGAGGCCACAATTACAAATCAGTACTGTAGCATATTCTATTTTATCAACAAGAGAATTTGTTCTCCCTTATATAGACTTGTTTCACCTCTTGCATTCCTGTTTCTATTGTTCAACCTGATTCTGGAGTTATGCTTTCCCATTGCCAGGATCAAGTCAGTCCTTGATCTCCCTTTACCATTGCTGAGCAGTTATAATTTGAATTTCCCCTTCATAGAATGTCTCAAACTTTCTGCAGCTGTTTTTCTACACTAGATAGTTACTGCCAACTGCTCCATGATTTTAGGCACTCTGATTAATTCTCCAAAGAACGGCTGTTGTGGTTGTATCTCTATTTGCATTACTTAGAGTGATTCAGAAGACTGTGGTGGGCTGACATGGGCCAACTGCCAGATGCTCATTCACCTCTCCAAATAGGAGGGGTGAGAAAATAGGATGGAAAAGCTTGTGGGTCCACATAAAGACAGGGAGACTGTTTACCACTCACCATCATGAGCAAACCAAACTTGACTTGGGGAAAAGCAATTCAATCTATTACCAATTAAAAAAGATTTTGGTAGTGAGAAGAAAATTTTAAACAACTTCCTGCATTGTGTCCCCCGTGCTCCTGTTCAGGTCAACTTCACTCCTTCTTTCCTGACTCCTCTATCCCTTTCCAATCCCCTGTGCAGTAGAGGAGAGATGAGGGTTATGAGGGTTAGTCTGGACATAACAGGTGTTTTTTGACATGTTATGCCTTCTCCATTGTGAGTCCTCTCCATGGGCTGCAGCGCTTCAGGATAAATCTGCTCTGTTGTGAGCTTTCCACAGGCTGTGGTTCCTTCAAGCCTGTTCCAGCATGTGTTCCTTCATGGCGATACTTGACTTTTAGTGTTTGCACTAGTGTTTCTAGTGCACTACTTTTTCCCTTTTCGTTTCCCCCCACTCCTCATCCATATGCTCAAGTGGTTTTTCACTCTTTCTTAAATTTTTTTCATGGAGGTGACACCAGCTTCTCAAGAAAGTAGTGAATAGCAGACCTAAACCACATTTTTCTGAACCAAATTGCATCTTTCAAAGGGCTGGAGAACTGAGTGTAAAGGTCTGTCTAATATAACCTAAGTTATATTTGAAATCAGTTGCAGTATTGGCTAAAGATCAGCTTTCATTTCATTTGAGAAAAGGAAGTAAAGAGATCCAATTATTTCCCAGATTTCTTCCTACCAAAGAAAAGGGCAGTGTGCTGAGAGGAGGGAGCAGAGGTTTATTTTGGCTAGTTAAACAAAACAATTCTGATATGCTGGAGGACTATGAGTGTGTTACTGCACTGTAAAATATATTGTTCTCCTGAGTTTCTGGAATATTTGTACAGGTCTCAAAGAAAATGTAGGGTGTGGAAAAGACCTCTGATCTGCTTACATGAAAAGTGCTACGTGTCAGCTGTCTGCCAGGGAGGCTGTTGAAAACTCACCTGGATTCATGAAGAGATTGCTTACACAGAAGTTTTCTGTGCTGTATCCTACTTAAGTGTCTGATCTAAAGAGACTTTTCACTTCTTGCCAAGACAATCTGGTACATAAACTCTGGTTTCCTAAATGCTATTTCAACAATACTTTCAACAACTGCAGATTCCCTTGTATTTTAAAATAAGTGCTGGGAGACCACTACTATTTCTGGTAAAGGATTTGCTGGAAATGCTAAAAAGGTGTGTCAAGTGTCTCTCTTAGTTTGCTTTTGTATGGAATTTCCTACTATAAGAAAGCAGGCTGGTAGGAAAACAGCTTGTAGTGCATGAAGGGACAGAACTAGGAATTAGTGTTTTCTTCAACGTTTATGCAACTTGCATTAACAATACACTTAAGCAATGCAGGCTTAATGGCTCTTGGACCATTAGCTGAAGCCCTCGTGACGGAAAAAGCATAGTTTGACGGAAGCAAGCAAATAGATGTGATGCTTTCCCGTGCCTTATTTAAGGTCGAAGTTCTTTCTGGCACCCGAGAAACGAAACCAGAAGTTGGAGGCAGGTTCACGCCGGGAAAGAAAACCGAAAGCTGGCGAAGCTGGAGGCGGCGGGGCCACCCCAGGAGCCGCCCTCAGAGCTGCCGCCGACGGCGCCTTAAAGGCGGCAGGCAGGGCGGCGGAGCCGGGCCGGGCCAGGAGCAGCGGCAGAGGCTGCAGGTACTGTCCGAGCCGGGGCTTGCTTAGAGATTGTGGTTAGACTTGCCTTTGGAGTGGGATTTGGGACTAAGCCTGGGGCGGGGTTAGGGTCGGCCTTAGTTCTGAGGGTTGCTCTTGGTTTGGGTTTGGTTTAGGGCTGGACAGCGTGCTGGGGAACACCTGGGAGCTCCGCTAGGGAGCTCTCCCCAGCGGGGAGGGAGGGGCAAGAGGAGCTCTGACAGGGAGTCAAAGAGGCCATGCAGCCCCAGGCACCTCAGATGTCAGCGTGTGCGCTGCAGAAAAGCATCAAGGTGGCAAAACATTTAGGCCTTGTTAGTTTTCTTTCTGAAAGAATATAGCAGTTCATACATGAGTATGTACAGATACAGGTGTTTTTTTAATGAGAATGGATGACTTCACATTTTCAGATATAGAAAGTCACTCTTGCTTAGGAGATTGTTGTAGTAGTGATGGCCAATTTCTAGGTTAGTGACAATTTCAGCATGCAGAAGTACATGATTCAACCCAGAATTGTGTACTGAAGTCTTTGATATAAGTTTTCAAATTTAGATAAGAAAATGGAGAAAAGTCTCAGACTTATTTCTGCTTTGACAAAAAGGATGTATGCAGGTACCCAGAATGTGATTTTGTGTAAATGTATGTATACAAATAGCTTACATTTTGTGCAAATAGATATTAGAATTTAAGTTATCTTAAGCACACCACTGTAATATAGCACATTATATGCACAAGTAGATAATAAAAATGTATTTTTGTTTAATTTTTCTGCAACTTCTTTTGCTAGGAACTTATACTAAAGGAAAGGGAAAGCACAAAAGAAAACTGGGGCATAGTTTTGTGTTTGTGAAATCTGAAAAATGTAGATTTCACTTTCTTTTATTGTTTTTTAAGAAGGGTTTTAAGAAAAGTTGTAAGACTAAAAATGACATCTAAAGATCATAGTCCTTTTATGGTCCCAGGGAAATGAAGGGTAGCTTTATCTAAAGGCATATGAATATAGGTTGGTCTCTATGATCTCAGAGGCCTTTTCCAACCTAATTGATTCTGTGTGAATATTGCACTGGCAAAACTGCAACAATAAGTACTGCATGAGGCTGTCACCTGAGCGGAAGCTAGGGAAAACTGATGTTCAAAAGAGCTGAGCTGATGTGGTAGGAACTGTGCAGTGTTATCCCAAGCTACTTGTTTGCTTTTTAGCTCAAAGGAACTGGCCGTTGTGATGTAGTGAAGTAATGGAGGTACCCTAACCATTACAGTTCTGTGCTTACTCAAGATTTGAGAATTCTACCTCTGGAAAACAAAAAAGAAGAAAAAAGGTAAAACTGATTAAGAAGTAGGATTGATACCAAACCATGATTATTCCCATCATGCAGTGAAGATGTTGTGGCCTGTGTACTTGTGACTGGACTAGCATGAGCAGTGTGGGTACAAATCACTTTGAATCAGGAAAGATGAATCATTCCTTGGAATGTGCCATGTAGATATACCTAATACAATAAAGTATATCTAACCTCCCCAAGGGTCCCTTCATGCAAAGTGCAAAACGAATATGTAATGTTTCTCTTAAGTATATTTTAGGAAATACAAACTGATGTTTTCCTTTTATTTCATAAAAATATTTATTATTTTAAAATCAAATATGTCTCTCAGGGATGTTCAAAAAAGGCTTCCTGGTTTTTCTTAAAATTTATTCCAGTGTGATTACAAAGCAGATAATTTACTGGTTGAAGCTGAAGAGAATGCTATATTTCCTGAAAATTATCTCTTCATTATTTGGATTTCTTTTTCTGGATGTCAGAATCATTATCTGTGATGGATTCTACAGAAGATCATTCCGAGAAAGTCGTTAATGAAGATACAAGTGGGAGTAACGATGATACAGCCAGTGTGCGTAGTGACAGTGAGAAAATGGGCTTCACTGCAACAAAGGAAGATGAGGACAGAGGGAATACGATCGACATTGATGAAAAGGATAAGATTAGTGACAAAGTGGAAGCATCTGTCTTGCAGATGCTTAAAGAAGAGGTAGATAGAGAAAAAGAAGTCATAGATTACAGTAGCATTGAAGAAGTGAAACAGGAAGCATCACAAACTGAAGATGAAGATTTCAGAATCGTCCAGCACAGACATGATCCCCAAAGCCCTGGTGAGAAGCTGCTAATAGCATATGCTCATGTCTGTTGCATTATCTTACATTTTGGCTCTTTTGTAATTAACTGATGAATTAAAGTTATATGGTTCTATCAATAACCATGTATATGATTATTTTAGAAATGAGAAAACATCTTGAATTTCTGGAGAGGTTGAGGCTACACGTTTGGGCATCCCTGTCAAAGGCTCAGTAAGTACAGTAGGGTTCATGGGAAAAAATGCAATAAATGGTAATAGAAATAGTTTCTTTGAACTAAGTAGACATCACAGTTGTGATGGTTTTAGTCTAGGCCTTCTTGGTGACCAGTTTGTAACCAAGGAAGTGGCCATGTACCCAGTATTCCATACGATTTTTACGTAAACCAGAGTATAAATAAGTTGGAGATTAGAGACCTCTCTCTCTTCTCTTCTGGAGAAGTTCAGGAGCAGTGAGTCCTTGCGTTGGTCTCGCTTATCTAAGGTTGAGGCCTGCAGTGTCCACTGTCCTGCCACGCAGAAGGTTGGGAAGTGCTGGCCGTGTCTGCCAATCCTGCTTTTCTAAGGGACGTGGTGAGATCTGTTTTGCTAGTTATTAGTATAGTTCTCGAGTTTGATTGCGTATACCTGTTCAGTGTCCCTTTTTGTTCCCTTTTGTCCCTTTTTGCCCTTTCCCTATCCCTTTGGGGGGTGTTTGGATTCCCTTTTACTGTGTACATAGCATCTTAACTGTGTATAACTCTAATATACATAAATATATATATATTTTTATATTAGTAGCTTGACTTTGAGTTCTTTAATTTTTTATAGTTTTTTTTTCCTTTGCCCTAAGACAAGAAGGGAGGGGGGAAGGGAACTGCTGCCATAAGTTTCAGGCATTTGGTAGGGAACAAGGTCTGAACTATCACAACAGTCCTTAGAGAAAGAAGCTCTGTGCTTGTCACCTAAGTTTGTGGAAAGCCAGGAGACCTAAGGCCTGCTTAGGATTTCATACTTCCAGACACATGAAGGAAGATTCCTAGTACAACAGAAAATCTACCCAAAGAGTAGGGATTTTCTGCATGTTTGGGAACTGATCTACAGTTTTAACTATTGCAATTTATTTTTTTTCAAATTCTTTGTCATGCTTTTTTGTGTATTTTTCCTCATGTGTTTTAAGGCTACTACTTTTACAGTATCTGAAAGAGTTTGCCTATGGAATTTTCCTTTTCATTTATACCTTCTGTAGTTTTGCATGTCAGTTCTCATGCATGATCTTCTGCTTCTCCAGATTTGGATTCCTTTCCCTGTTTGATATGGGAAATGAATTAGCAGTAGTGACATTCATGTTGCCAGTGAAGTGTCTCCTCTGCATTCTTGAGCTCACGTAAGAGATTAGTATTAAATAAAGGCAGACAATTTAATGTGTAAGAAGTTTGTGTACTTTTTGTTCATGGAAGGCTACACATTGCATCAGATAGCAAACTGGGACTGTGAACCAAAGGCTGTTGATCTCAACCAGAAAGAAAAGCTAGGTCTTCTCTGGTGTGGAACTAAATCCAGCATTTTTGACAGCCTTGCAGAAAACAAGCACGTTTGTACTATTAGGTTTATTGTCCTACTATGCATTAGCACTGGAATATATAATAAACAATATAGTATGTACTAGGCAAACATGAAAGCAGAGAAGCTTTACTAGGAGAGCTTGACAACTTCCTCCTCTGGACCTACAAAAGTTCTTCTGACTGCTTGGTCTGTCCTAAGTAAAACATCACGTTGCTGGATTTTCATGGACTCTTAAGGAACTGAAGAATGCTTTCAATTCCTAAGATATATTACAAAATAATGTTTATACTTATCATCTTCAGATGCAAGGGATTTGTTTAAATTTTGACCTAAGACTCATTAATGAAAATTTTATCAACTCTCATAGTTATCTGAAATAGGGACCAGACGAAGAATTTTTTTAGTTCTTTGGTCTCTTGAAGGAGTGGATTGTGATTGGATTCTCTTGCTGTTAACTTGTTTTTCTGCAATAAACATTCCTTGGATGAGGGAGGTTGTCATCTGTTGTCGTGATAGTTGCTATTTTTAGTTAAAACTCAGGCAAGAAGGCTCTCAAAATATACTTTGTGATTACCTCCTGTGGGGTATTTCTTTTAGAATGGATAACACTTCCTGCGTAAGCAGACATGGACAAAGGGTGATATATAAGTCACAAAAACCTCAGATGCTATGAAGGTATCTGGAATTGTAAAGAAACAATTGCTAATACATTCCAGTAACTGAAAGGATTGCAAGCTATTTAGGAGTTAGATCCAAGAAAGTTGATTTGCTATTGATTTTATTTATACGTTTGAATGTTTAATGTATTAGTAAGCAAATGTTTAATGTATTAATAAGCAAATTTCTTCTGTCCCATGTCCCCAACTTTTCTTGGAGTAGATTTTATGTACATGTTTTTTCTTTTTCTTTCAGGAATGTCAATCTGTTAAAAGACTATGTTGAGTCTGAATTCTTTGTGATAGACGGAGATTCCTTGCTACTTATGTTTATAGATAAGAAAACACAATATCTAAACTTCTTCTACCAAATTGAATGCTTTCTGCAGGATTTCACTGAAAAAGGAGCAAAATATGTCATTACTTTCTTCAAGGTACTGAACAAATAACATTTTTTTTCTGTTTGAACCACTGCATTCCTTTTAAACCAATTGCTTGAATCTGATCAGGATGAGGAATCTGTTCATTGTATCAACAAATGTAACTGAATAAATTCATTGTGTTTATTTCCCACAGGATGCAGAGGAGATGTTCTTTCAGGATCCTCATTTTCTTTTCTTACGTACTGCATTAATAGAACACCTGAGGCACAATACAAGCGTAACTGTTCATACAGAATTTTCCAATTGTTTATCATCCAAATGGGAGATTTTCCTGAAGCAAAGCTATCCTTACTTCATCATCGTATCTGACACAGGACTGAGCTCTCGACCAAAGTGACTTTTTGTCTATTTTAATTGCTCATTCATTGTCAAAGAAAATCAATGTTGTGCTTGCTTCAGGACAGGAGTATGATATTCTTAGAGTTTACGGATATCACGTTCAGAACGTATATACGCACAGATTATTTTTTCAAAGGGTAAGCTGTGCTACTTGGTCACTGGTTTGCAATAACGATGTTAGTTTGACTTAGAAGATTTAAATAAAAATATCTCAGTATGAGTATTTTAATTTACATATTAATATTATAAAGAATTGATATGTGGCTCATTTTCTTTTTCTTTAATCTACTGGTCTTGAAATCACTAACAGGTAAACTTTGTGATTGATGGCAAATTCCTGCCCTGTTCTCTATAGTCTCATTTCACGTCCTTTTTCACTTTTGATACGATAGCCCCTAATACAGCCTTTCCTTTATCTTCACTATCACTTGTCTTAGTTGACTTGTAGTATGCCAGAGGAAGGCTAGTGTTTAGACCAGTGATGTGATTTTTAAAATTTTAGTCAGTTTTTTCTTGGAGGCTGAGGATTTATTTATATCTTAATGGTTTCTGTCTGTGCCTCGTAGTCCGTCATACATTGTATCTATTGACTTTTGCGTATAACTTTGACTTAGAATGAACAAGATCTGCGATGCGCCTGTGAAAACCTAATCAGGCACAAAAAACCATTGATGCATCTATATGGACATCTCAAGCTGAACCTGAAAAGTATACAAAAAGAGGTAATTTGTCCTCTTTGATCCTTTTTCTTTTTTTTTTTTTTCTCTTTTTGTTGATTGATCTTCCTTCATTCCTTTACATGAAATTATTTTCTAAACACAGAACTAGGAGCTCTCTGCCTTATCCTGAAGTGATGCCCCAAGCCTGAGAAGGTCTCCTCTGTGGCCACTCTTCTTCACAGCAGCTTGAAAGTGTTTCTTTCTTTAAAGTTCACTATAGTAGCATGATTCAGCTGAAAGCTGATCAGTGGGATACCACTTAAGGGACGTTCCTTTCTCGGCAAACGCCTTGTCCTGAAGAAGATAGAAACCAGCCCATTTAGCATGAACCAGCATTGGTGGCATAGTTATACCCTTAGCTGCTGTGGGGGCTGCAGCTACTACCCTCTGGGGGCACTGTGGCCATTGCCTATCCCCATGGCAGCAGTGGTGGGCCAGAGTCAGTGCTGCTGCCAGCAGAAACCTCTTCTGTAGGGACATGCCTCAAAATCTAAACCTCACTATTGCAGCTGCTAAGGTTGGCACACTCAGTTGACTATTCACGATCTGGGAATTTCTTTTAAGAACTAGAGTTATAAGGTCTGTGCTTGCGTGATTAAAGCAGTGATTCTACAGTATTTTAACTTCAAAAAATTGCTATTTCTATGGTTACATAGACGCCTTTAATGCCTAATACACTCCTACCATTTTCCTGAGCATAAAGTTACACTGCAGTGTTGTGACCCTTCTTCTGCTCCCTCAGAGAACAACAGCAAGGCTTCCTTGGACTTCAGTCAGGAATGATCCTAGTCTAGCAAGGTGAATTTTTAGTCCAGAAAAAATATGGTGTTACTCAGAAAGCATTTTAAAGCTGAGCTACTGCCAATATTTTGTTTTATTATGATTATCTTTTCTGAGGCACAGTTAGTAATTGAATACCCCAGGAGCAGAACCACATCAGGGTGCAGGAAGGGCAGATGGCTGCTCCCTCCAGGCTGGGGCTGTGAGAGGTCACCTGGGAGGGAGGGCAGGGCAAGGCAGGGCCTGGGAGCCATGGCCTGTCCCACTGCCCCAGGTAAGAGCAGGACAGCTGGGGGACATCTGTAACCCAGGGTGTCAGGCACCTCCTTGGGAATGGGCTGAGCCAGAGCAGGTTGCAGCCTGCAAGGCTGTGGAGAGCTGGAGACCAGCACTGCTGCTACATTTCTGGGGCAGGAGTGACAGCCTGAAAGGGGCTGAGGTGGGGCCCTGGGCAGGTGGGAGGAGGTCCCATGGGTCCGGAAGGTACAGTCAGGGCTGTTGGTGCCCTCAGTGACATGACAGAAAGGGGAAATTTTTACTAATGATTGTGCCCACTTTTGCTTCTGCTGTTTTTTATCCTTTTTCTCCTTCTTCCATCGAACTCTGTACAGAATAAGAATAGTCTCTTTATTTTGTAATTTTTATTGTGGTGATAATTTATGCTATTCATAATGTTATTACTCCAGGTTTGCCAGGCTATCTGTTTGTTGAAACAGCTGTGGCCTGAAGGATCTGATATTCGCCGTGTGATCTGTGTTCTTGCTTGTGCCATGGGATTAAAAATACACAGCAGCATGTTGGGAAATGCAAATACTACTATGGGAGCAAACAGAATGCAATCAGCAAGAGTAAGAATTTTGTAAATATCTTCTAAGCATGGTAACCCTAAGCATTTTGCTAAGAGGAGAGATGGCTGTCCTTCTAGATCTAAAGCTGAAGAGGGACCCAGATGCCTCCTTTGTGATTACATCAAGTGGTTTGGGTCAAATAATTTACTATGGTCACAGCTTTTCAAAGGAGCATGGTCTCTTTGTGGGTGGCACTGGCCCCCCCTGTCATAGTGGCTGTTTCTGGAAAAGTTTTACCTTAGGAACAATTACTTTCATAGAAAGTTTTACCTTAAGAAGGCAGTTGCGCTCACTATTTTTCTTTTCCTAACACTCAGTGCCATACTAGCTTTTACAGAAGAACATGCTTTTCCTCAAGTTAGCAAGACATTTCAGTATAAAGGTTTCTTTCCATGTGTGGTCATTTTTGTGACCATATTACAAGGCTTGTATTTTCATCAAGTTAACACAGATGCAATATATCAGTAATATTTTATCATACACATATTCAGTAGACTAGAGGATAGCTACAAATAGTTAGTTAGTAGAGCTCAAGTTCTGTACTGAGTTTTTGCAGTTCAGTTAAGAAAAGAGCATAGGCCTATATCTAGACATTAACTTTTCCTCTTAAAATAATAACATTTCTAGCCAGGCAAACTGAAAATTGTTTTCAAGTTTTGTCTTGGTTTTCATAGTCGTGTTCCTCCTTGGAAAAGAGATGATTTTTTTTTTTTTTTTTAACATTATAACTGGTCTGCATCTGCCAGCACTACAAGAATGTTCATTTTGAAATAAGTGTGGCCACAGGTAATTAAAATTCTCAAATTGTCTAAATAGATCAAAATTATTAGATGCTTTAACGAAGTGCATACCACTGAATTAAGTAGTGGTGAATACAATTATTCTGCTGAAGGATGTGGCCAACTTTTTATCTGTCATCTCTCAACAGAGAAGTAAACACCTATCTCCAGAAGAAGCAGCTGACCTCTGCAGGATGCAATGTCTCACAGTGACTTTTCTTCTTCATATGCCTCTTTCACAGAGGGCTCAGATTAGGGCCATGAAATTGTGCTGGACGAAACAAGTTTTACCACTGATAAAAATGGTATGTATAGCACTGTCTTAACTTCCTCTGGCATAGGGTGCAATTGTCATTTCAGTGTCATTTTCCTTTATATGCTGCTTCAGTCATCTGATGAGATTAAAGAATGTAATGTACCTGCTGGAAACAAACCCTTTGTTTGTTTCTGAGGCTGAGATACTGAATGCCTTCTTTGCTTCAGTCTGCACTGTCAAGGCCTGCCCTCAGAAATACCTGACCCAGTTGACCACGGAAAAAATCTTGAGGAACGAAGACTTTTCCTTGTTTTAGCAGGTTTGGCTTAGGGACCATTTAGTCAAACTTGACATCCAAAGTCCATGGGCCATGATGGGATGTACCCACAAGTGCTGAGGGAATGGGCCGACATCATTGCTAGACCACTCTCAATCATCTTTGAAAGGTCACGGCAATCTGGAGGAGGTGCCTGAGGACTGAAGGAAAGCAAATGTCAGCTCAGGCTTCAAAAAGGTAGCAATCCAGGGAACTACAGGCCAGTCAACCTCACCTCAGTCTCTGGAAGGGTGATGGAACAACTCATCCTGTAGGTCATCTCTATGCATGTGGAAGACAAGAATAGGATCAGAACTAGTCAGTATAGATTCACAAAGGGAAATTATGCTTAACCAACCTGATTGCCTTCTGTGATGAATCAACTGTTTGGATAGATGAAGGGAGAACAGTGGATGTTGTTTACTTTCACTTCATCAAGGCTTTGACATTGTCTCCTATGACAAGCATATGTAGGCTGAATGAGTGGAAAGTGAGGTTGATTGAGAACTGGCGGAAGGGCAGTTGGTTGTGGTCAGAGGTTTGCGGTGGTGGGACAGGGTCTAGTTGTAGGCCTGTCACTAGGGATGTCCTTTCAAGGTTCAATACTGGCCCCAGTATTGTTTAACTTATTCATCAGTGACTTGGATGAAGGGGCAGATGCCTCCTCAGCAAGTTCACTAATGACACAAAGCTGTGAGGAGTGGCTGATACCCCAGAGGGCTGTGCAGCCCATTAGAGGGATCTCATCAGGCTGGAAATGGGGAGAGAACTGTCTGAAGTTGAACAAAGGAAAAAGCAGGGTCCAGTACCTGGGGAGGAATAACCCCAGGCACCAGTACAGGCTAGGGGCTGGTGGACAGCAAGCTGTCTGTGAGCCAGCAGTGTGTCCTTGTGGCTAAGAAGGCCAGTGGTATCCTGGGATGCATTAGGAAGAGCATTGCCAGCAGGTTGTGGGAGTGATCCTGCCCCTTTACTCAGCCCTACACAGCACTGCATTTGTACATGTACAGCTCCTCAGTACAAGAGAGGCATGGAGCTCCTGGAGCAGGTACAGTGGAGGGTGATAAAGATGATTAGGGGGCTGGAGAATCTCTCCTTAAGAGGACAGGTTGAGGGAGCTGTGCCTGTTGAGCCTTGAGAAGAGAAGACTAACAGGAGACCTTAATAAAGTCATAAGTATCTGAAGGGAGGGTGTCAATAGGATGGAGTCAGGCTCTTCTTGGTGTTGCCAAGCAAAAGGACACAAGGCAATGGGTAGAAACTGATGTACAGGAAGTTCCACCTGAATATGAGGAAAAACTTTACTGTGTGACAAAGCACTGGAACAGATTGCCCAGAGAGGTTGTGTAGTCTCCCTCATTGGAGATATTGAAGAACTGTCTGGACAAAATTCCTGTGCAATGTGCTCTAGGATGACCCTGCTTGAGCAAGGAGGTTGGACCAGATGACCCACTGCGTTCCTTCCAACCTGACCCATTCTTTGATTCTGTGAAACCTTACCTGGTTCAGGAATCTTGTGAGCCACAAATGAGTGAGGCTAGGAGAATGTTTGGGGCAAGATCTCAATACTTGACCTCTTCTTGGACATCTCCATTTAGTCAGCGCTAGTGGTAGGGTACTGGGCTAGGCGGACTTTTTAGTCTCATCCAGTATTTAAAGTTTGATGTCAGGCCCTTTTGTTGTTTAAAGCTGGTTATTGCAATGAAGGAGGACATAAAGACAGTTTTCTGATCACAGAGAAGTCAAGTAACAATGTGGGTTTTTTTCATGTCAAGAAATCTGTGGCAGTTAACCTTCCTTTGGAGATGCTTTGATACCTCCACATGTAAAGGTGCTCCATAAGAATTAATTGTTTGCTTTATTTTAACAGCAACAGTTGTGTATGCATTTTGCTCTGGTACAGCTATGTGACACAAATGATTGGAAATTGGATTTGACTTACCTGCCTGATTTAAATGATGATTCACTGCTCATAAATCTTGCACATTACTATGAAGTCGAATACCCTAAAGGTATTTATCATTGTTGAACAGCTTGTTTTCTTATATTTTTTACTTTATTGAGCTGCAAAATGGGAATAAAACTGCTTATATGGACAGAAATGTACACAATCTTCTAATGACCCATAGCAATGGATACATTTCATGGAATAATAAGGAAACATTTTTTCTGTAACAAAGTTTAGAAAATCACATGTGCCAGTGTCTTATACCTGTACTTGTTCAGAATACTTTATCATGTCATATCTTTGATGTGCCACCTGTACTAATACATGAAAGAGTGGTATGACATAGGTAGCAAGAGTTCTGGGTCACTGTTATTGGGTATTCTCAGTTCTGTTTGTTTTTTAGCCAGTTTATTATTAATTTTGTCTTAGTGCAACACAGTCAGAAACTAGATGCAATCCCTACTGTCCCAGTGACATTGAATAATACTTAAATTTCAGATGAGATTGATTCAGACAAGGTCACATACTGTCTTAAACATACCGTAATTTGGGAACTGGAGCTTTATGAACACCATCAGATGTGTTAAGATCAGCAAAAAAAGTTAACAAAGCTTACAGAAGAAGAAAATATCAGAAAAGATTTGTAGCAAATATTCTTTCAGAGTAATTGCTTGTGAGTAATCTTCTGCCATGAGTCTGTCTGTGTGATAGTAAATCAGAACACTTTATAAATCCAGTTACAAGAGGTCCTGTATGTACTTCAGTAAAGCAAGTGTAGAGGAATTTTTAAAGAAAATATAAATTAAGAATACAAAACATTTATTTTTATAATGATACCTACTATTGGGCACCAAAAAAATTATCAATTCAAGATTCTACCTTATAGGAGGCAAAGGTGGGAGAAACCCTTCTTTAGCTGTAGGGCTTGCAGACTTTCACAGACAGTCTAAATCTGTTTTTTTTTCCAAAACTCGTATTCTCAGTACATTTACTTATTTATGCTCTGGGCTATTAAAAACTGTGAAGGTACAACATTCTGTTCTAATTTGTTCTAGTGACTAAAGCTCTTGTATAAAAGTGAAGTTTTTGTGTCTGAGGCTGCGTGGGTAAATAGATAGGTTCAGTTTGAGTAAACTCAATTTTAAAGCAACTTTTTCTTTTTTCCCTTCCCTCTTTCCTGTGCAGGATTAGAGTTCCAAAAGGATTTGGGGAAAGAAATGGAGAATGACTACCAATTTTTATGGGACACTGTAAAAAAGTTGGCTGTGAAATACAGTTTTGGAGATGCTTTCCCAGTACGAAGAACATCCCAAGTATTTCTTGAACAGGAGCAGACATTATTTAGAGGTACTGGCAACTCCACATATTAGAGTGTTAAAAGCATGATGCTCATTGCTATCACTAAAAGTGCTGGGAGTGGTGGTCTGATTTTATTGTGATCACAAATCTAATCCATGCTTCATGGATCTTCTCCTCCATCCTTCCAACCCACTAGCAAAACTTGCAGCTAATGTAAAAAGAAGTCTGAGCTGGCCTTATGAGTGAAATTCTGGACTCCAATGTGGACAGCACAAGTATTGTTATGAATTTCATGGGGCATTGGGTTTAGTTCCATGACTACTAGCCCAAATCTACTGTATGTATTGTAAAAAACATTATGAGTAGTGGTTTTTACTATTACAAGTAATAGTAAAAAAACATATTAAGTACTCATATTTAAAGTAATGATTATGCTGCAGAAAGACTCTCTGAGGAACATGTTTGACATGTTGTCATAATGTTAGGCAGATACTGGGCATGGGAGCAGCAAATTAAGTGGAATATAGAACTATTCCCTTAATGGTAGAGAGTCCAGCCATCACTGTAGCTCACACTGCCGTTCTTGATGGTTTTAGAAGTATGAGTTGTCCATAAATGTCTTAAATTGCATCATCATCCTATAGCTCATAAATGGGGAAATGCATGATTGACTCAGAGATGGTTTTCTTCTCTCACTTACAGGACCTGTTCTGAATATCTGAAAGGATTAGGTAGATTTTTTTGCCTAATATCTGACATTTCTTGAAAACCAGATTTGTTACATCCTTAAAATATTCGTTTTAAACTTATGAAATTGTATAACTCTTTAGGAGAGACAGTTGATAAAAAGTCAGTAAAGGCTAGAATTCTACTTAAATTTGTGAGTGTTCTTCAGCTGGTTTCAAAGATGTCAAGTGGGCAAAGTGGGTTCTAGTGGGCAAAAAAAGACAGTTTCTTTGTTTTCTGTAGGATATTAGGGAATCTTTTGGCAATTCTATTGCCTATTTCTGTATCTCCTTTGGCTGAAGACCAAAACTGTGGCTGGACTTCAACCATGTGAAGGGTGTGCAATGTTACTTGTAGTCTTTAGTTTCTTTAGTCATCAAACATAAGTGTGGTTTAGGAGACTGTGATATTTAGGAGACTGTGATATTTAGGAGACTGTGATCTTTATGGAACCAGTGCAGAAACATAGATGAATGTGAGATGGAATTGGCTGTAGCATTCAAAAAGCTAGCATAGGTGTCTAAAATGGATCATGAGAGACAACTAATTGAAAGCAACATTGATGTCTGCTTCACTCTTCTTTCCCTGCCTGAGAAGAAAAAAGTGGAACTAGTGAACTGCTGATTACTTTTAGTAAATTTTAATTTACAGATTTTAATTTATAATGTAACTTGACATAATTTTTAAGAATTATGTGCAATTATATATATTCTTAATTAAACAATACTATTTTTTTACACTGTAAAGTCTATGAAGAAGAAATTCCTAACATTGGACTAATTCCAGTGAAGTCTGATCTTGTTCAAGATTATGTTGGAGATGTTTTGAAAAACCTACCTGTTTTAAAAAGGTACCTATATGTTTTGTTTTTAATGAAATAACATTATATGGGCTGATTTTCTACTACCCTGCACTTTGCATCCATATTATGCTAAATTTTTACAAATGTAGAAATGTTTTTTATTATGCCTGGGTAAAATTTCACATACACATTTACATTAATTGTTGTAAATATTAACAGAAAATTCAAAACAAGAATGGTTGAGAGTAAATACATCCATATTTTCTCATATTGTTATTTGTTTGCATTATAGTCTTTGTTAATCTAAATTCTGAAACTGTTTTTATAAGTGTAAAATTTGTGTTTGAAAGGCCTTATTGTAATTTGCAAAGCTCATATTGATTTCATGAAAAGAAAAACATTAAATAAAAACACTGAAAAAAGTAAGAAGAGGTTATCCTTTACATTTGCTCTGCTATATGTGGAAGTGGGTTTTGTGCTATGTAATGATTATTTTATAGTCATTGTGTGAATTACGTAGTTACATTGCATTCTGTGATTAATCTGTACAAAAATAAATGAAAAAATGATGTTTTACTTTGTTATTATTTCTTTCTGAAAAATTGAGGCTATCTTAACACACTATAGTACCCCAAAGGGTAGAATTAAACCCTTTGTTGTTTTTCTGCCAGCAAAACTGTGTTTTGATAAAGACCCAATTTTCAAATGTTTCATTAGTGAAGCTAGAAAACCCTTTTAATTTCTGCTCTATTTAATATTTATATATTTCAGCAATGACCCTGCAATTACTTCACTTATCAAATACAAGGAATTCGATGAACTTCATCACTGGCATTCTGGTAGACCTTTGACTGAGGAGTATGAGCGAGTGCCGTGTAATGCTGATGGTAAGAATTACTAACACAAAGCCCATGGGTATGTGTTGGCTAGAACAGTATTGTAAAGGTTGTTGTGGTTTTGCAGAAGGACTTTCATTTCATAAAATATTTGCAGCTGTACAAATACGTGCCCAACTGGAGCTACTGTAGTAGCCAAATTATACTTCAACTGATATGCCTGTGCATTATGTGTATGAACTTTGTATTATTTTAAATAGGTCTGAATGAAACAGAATGAGCACTTAGGGTCAGATGTTCATCATATATTCCCTTTTGCCTGTGAAATGCTTCACAGATTTATGCAAACAATGTACATATGAAGTTTAATGTTTAAATATATAGTTTGGATAATGTTTAGTAAGCACATTCACGAATGTGGAAAATCTGCTCAGATGGTTGCACAGTGTATGCATAGCCAATCTTATCTTTTGAGATCAGAATTAAAATAAGAAGTAAAAGAAGTTGTTGTGGTTTAATCCCAGCCGGCAACTAAGCACCACACAGCCACTCACTCACTTCCCTCAGCTGCAGCAGGATGGGAGAGAGAATCAGAAGGGTGAACATGATAAAACTCATGTGTCTGAGATCAAGACTGTTTAATAGGTAAAGCAAAGGCCACATGCACAAACAATGCAAAACGAGAAATTAATTCACTGTTTCCCATGGGCAGGCAGGTGTTCAGCCATCTGCAGGAAAGCAGGACTCCATCACATGTATCAGTTACTTGGGAAGACAAATGTCATTGCTCCAAACATCCACCCATTCCTTCTTCTTTCCCCAAGTTTTATTGCTGAGCATGACACCATATGGTATGCAATCTTCCACTGGTCAGTTTGGATCAGCTGTCCCAGCTGTGTTCCCTCCCAACTTCTTGTGCACCCCTAGCCCCCTCGCCAGCAGAAAATGTGTTGACTCTGTGTGAGCACTGCTCAGCAATAATACACCTGATTTATCAACACTGTTTTCAGCACAAATCCAAAACACAGCCCATACCAGCTACTATGAAGAAAATTAACTCTATTCCACTAAAACCAGCAAGAAGTAAATTTAAGTTTGTATTATTCTTGATGTTACGCATTATAATTTCCTATTAAGTTTTTTTCCAGTTTATAATACCATAGAAAACAAGCCATGGACTTAGCTTTGAACTTAGATTGGCAAATTTACATGAAATTAACTCTACAATACTGTATGTAGCAGGAAGTACACAAAAATTTCTCTCAAAGATATTCCCATCATCTATTGCATCATGCAGTGAATGAAACTCTGAAAAACCTTTCAGAAGTTGAGAATTCATGGGTTACTGTTGGTAGTTCTAAGGTTGATTATGCTTTTTATTCCATGACTTAGAAATACAGTTTCCTGAGTAGGTATTTGTATTACTTGAGCTATGAAACCAAAATTTGATGTGCTCCTGTTTTTGACTGGATCATTTTTTGCATTCTGTGCACTGTGACTTCAGTGTGAAGTTTGGAGAACATCCCCTGCAGAACAGTAGCTAGAGCACCTTCCATAATGTTGAAGGTTTATAACCAATTCATGCAGTGCCTTGCATGAATACTCTTTTCTACTGAGATAGGTCTTTAGGTCCTCACACTCAGAAGCAGACTCATCATTTTGATTTTTAGGACAGAGAAAGGCAGATGCTTGAGTGTGGAGGTATTCATGTGCTCAGTTCAGTATCTTCCATTGCCTAGCATAAGTGTTGTTCCAGAAGATTTATTTATTTATGTTCTGATGGCAGACTTGTTTTCTGGAGGAAGAAGTATCTTTCTGATCGTTTGAATTGCCTTCAGAAGAAGGTAATCGTACCTTTCTATTTTCATGCACTCAAACAGTAATAATTTCCAGGCATCCTGGTTTTTATGTTTTACAATATTTTTAATGTGCATCTAAAGTAGTCTCAATTTGGGTCTACTGGCCTATCTCTCACATAGTTCAGCCTTTGTCAAAATGTGATTTTGCCCTTTAGAGTCAATGAGGAGTTTTTGTAGGAAAGTCGTCCACTACCCAGCTATCTTTGCTTGGCTAACAGATTGGAACAGTCTGGAAGTCTATCAGAGCATTTTTCAATCAGTTATATTTGTTTGCAGCAAAATCCGAAAGTCCAGAAGAAGGAAGAGAAGTACAGAAGTTACAGAATTTCTCGTCACTTTTATGGAAGCACTCTGGTAGACAGCCCTTCAAAACTTATTGTATGCGAAGAGGATGTGTCAGGAAATGCAAACTCAAAGGCACAAAAGAAGCACGTGAGTATATTCAAGTTGCTCTTTCCAAATATTTTTTCTGCTATCCAGGAAATGATTTATTCTATATGAGTTCCACAGCTGAAGTTTTATATTCTGAATGTACTAGTAGTTCACAGTTGAAGAAAATTAAAGTGGTTTTGTTCTTCAGATCTGATTAGCTAATTGACAGATGTTTTTTTGTTCCTAGTTAAGAATATTGATGAGTGACTGTATTTTAACAGGCACAAGTAAAAAAAAACTTAGTAAATATGAATTCTGTAAAGGTTAAGGGGTTTTGGCTCATGTCCAGTGTTAAAAGGTGGAGTGAGGGAAAGTAGGTTTCATTAATTTAATTTTACTCTTAGAAACTGTTGAGAAACACTAGGAAAGAAACCATTATTCAATTACTTATTTCCCTGCACTATTTGGAAACATACTTTGTACATATCCTGTAGATATTACAATTACTTCTAACTGTGTGAATATTGTCAGACATCAAAGGGTATATAGCATGTGCTTGCCTACTTATGAACAATACTTAGCAGTGGTAATTTGAGTATCATTTCATAATAACCTGTAGTGTGGATTACAGGTTGTGAACTGTTGAATTGCCATTAAAACTCTGTATATAAAGTAACTTTACCTTCAAGTAACTTTAAACTCTTAATTTTATTTAACTTACTGAAGAGCATCCTAAAATGAGCAGAATTACTATTAGCCATGTATAAAATTAAAGCTTGAAATTTAACATTTAGACATTTGCTATTATATTTTTCTACATTTTTTTCCTTTTATACTAGCGGTGAAACTTTATACTAACTTAAAATGAAGTTTAGGGAAACTCTTTTGAGCAACATATATTGGGATTGATTATGTCTTCTTCAAAATGAAGTACTATTTTGAAAATTCTCAAAACATAATATATTGTACAGACTAGTTAAAAGCTATACATCACCTGCTATGATTGAGTGATTAGCTTTTTTTAGATGATGCTTGGACAGAGTGATGGTTATATCTAAATATCTTTATTTTATTGAATAGAAAAGTAAAGTGGAAGTAATTGTAGAGGAAAACATCAGGCGACTAAAAGCTAAGGAAGAAAAGAAAGAACAGAAGCAATGGCAAGCCTTATATATGACAACTGCAAATGAAATAAAAGAAAACCAGACTGTTGGAATAAATAAATTGGAGAAGTTTCTCAAGACCTTTAAAAGTAAATCTGTGAAGTTCAGCATAGAAATGACAGCACTGTCTGCCTGTTTACAAGTCTGGAAGAACCACTGCAAAGAGCAAGGTACAATAGCCAAATTCATGTTCAGTAGTCAACTTCCACTTCCTTTAACCAAGACAATGAGTGACTTTGGACATTCTCAGCTGTAATAAAGACATGTAAATACAGCCCTGTTTCAGAAACATGAAAGGTGCTTTTAAGTGTTAACAGGCTCTGGTCCCATCTTGCAATTTCAAGATGTAAAGTATTCAATGAAATTAAATTGTAGCTGTTTCCCAGTGTTGTTTGTAAACATTGCATACATAAATAATTAACTTTATTTATAGATATTTAATAATCATGTAGCATGCAATATTTATAGATATTTAATAATCATGTAGCATGCACAGTAAAATGTATCTATATATATCATGGATTGTTTAATTAGCTGAGGTGATTAGCTTGCAGTTTGAATGATGACGATTTGCCCAAGAAATCTGTGATACCATGGTTAGCGGCCTTCTGTTTCACTGTAATTAACTTGTTAAGTCCATATCCTCAGTGAGGAGACTCCAAATACACACTGCTTCTAAACGTGTTGAGAAGAGTTGTAAACATTGGAGTGAAATATGTTGCCTATAAGATTGAGTAACAAATTTGTGCGTCAGTAAAGTAAAATGGGGGAGCTCAGTTACTGTGTAGATGGTCAGAAGTATGACTTCTTCTTATAGATGAGTGTGCAGAAGCAGATAGAATTATTTGGGTCCTTGATCTTCAGTGGCCCTCATTGTAGAGGTGAAAGGAGAGTGAGTTGTCTTTGTCTAGTTGTCTTTAAGAAAATTAATCTTTTAATTGTTATAAATATGGGTAAGGTCTGTTCTAAAAATACGTAATATCAGAAGACTCTCAATGATACAATCAGCTCTCAGATAATGGTAGGTTTTTTTTTTTTTAAAAAAGGAAACAAATCTAAAGATTTAAACAAAGCTGTTCAAGTCATGAGGAGAATTCATATCCTTCTTGAAAAATATAAAGATCTCTTGGAGGAACCACATCTACAAAAGCTGACCAAATATCTAAAACTCCTTGGATTTGAGAATTTGGCATGCTCTCTATCTGGCCAGGTAACTTTATGGTTAACTGGATCTGTAGCTGAATATTAGCAGTGATTTCTTAAGCAATGAATAATGTGTAGGACATCAATATTGAGCTTATTTTATTGTGCCATAAGATTTTTCATTGTGCCATAAGATTTGGAACTATCTATTCTTGCTTCAGGTGTTAATCTTCTTTAGGTTCATGTATACATTCTTCTTCTTGATGTGAGGGCTAGCTGGCAAAATAAACGACTTCTTTAGGAAACAGAACTTTATATGTCTGCAAAGATACCCTTTGAAACAGACATCAAGATTAATTTGCTTTAGTTATGTCTCTCTGAGGCCTTAGATGTGTCTGAGAGGTACCTGAAGTTCAGTCCATCGCATCAGCTCAGCTCTTCATGTTAGAAATAAGTGTTAAAATCTAAACAATGAGCAACTGCTCTTTAACAGGTCCAAATGTGCTACTTTAGAAAAGGAAATCTTTTGAGACTGTGAAGGTGGATGAAAACTATTTTGTTTGATGTTATGGTATTCCTGATCACTTCGGAAGGAAATAGTTTCCGATACTGAATTGCTTGTTATTAGCACTGCAGAGACCACCAGTAGCTACATAGAATTTGGCCTGAAGTAATTTCTCCAAGGACCAACCTTATGCTTCTCTGCATGTTAACAACCTGCCCACCTTTATGTGCAGATGGTATGTTATTAGGGAGAGGGGATGCTAGAGTGGCTCTCAGGCAGAAGAGGGAGTAGGTAACTCCTCTTGCAAGAATATGAAGTCAATAGCAAAAGGAAGGAAGGTTACACTGAACTTTACAGTCAGCATCAGTTACTTCAGTGTCTCATTTTTCAGGCACAGTACAGTTGGGAATTTTTGGAAGCTTATTTCTGGAAACTATTTATCATCCTTCCTTGAGGTTCAAGACAGAGGAGAGGGAGGAAGTGAATGTTTTGTAAGAAATTTTCTTCCCTTTAAGAGTGGAAATTATTTGTCTCTTTTTCTATGTGAACTCAACTGATACACGATGATTACTTGCTTGTGGCTATATAATTATTGTAAAGGTGTTTGGTGTTCCAAATAAGCTATACTACATTTTAGGAAGTAGAATTAATGGATCCAAGGATCTCAAAAGTTTACTATAAAGGCTTGGGATGACAGAAGACATATGTTGGCAGGTTTAATTCTTGCTCAGAAGAATTGCTTCTACATCAGTTGGTGCATTTTGGACTTACTTTTGCTTTTGCAGCTCCTTGTTTATGATTATTACTTTTGCAAAGTTGGAGAAACTTTAGGAATAACTGAAATTTTCAGGAATAGCTGAAAATATTTATTTCAAGAAATTAAAGAAGTTGGGAAATCTCTGTCGTGGGTCGAGGCGGGACACGACACGAAACCCTTATGGATCCAGAGGCTGGAACACTTTATTGCACGATGTCTGCTAGTTTTATACACTTTTTAGGCTACACATGTCAACTCTCCACTGGTTCCCACATACATAAATATTCTTCCATTGACCACTAACGGTGTTATACAACTCTGCTTACTGCGCATGTCACGAAACACATTTTGCTGTGCTCAGCACATTTTACTGGAAAACCATATTGTTACAACTTCCGGGTCCGGGCGTAATTCTTCCCTGAACAAAGGTTCCTACTTAGCTTTAACTCTTCCCGAATCCCCCAGGCCAGCTGGGGGAGAACCACCACAAATCTCCATCCTTAAAGACAGTAAAAACTCGTCTGAATAACCTGAGTGACTCATCTTAAATGCAACTGTTTCTATCAGTGTGTTGGATTGAAATCCAAATATTCATAGAATCCACAAGGTTGGAAAAGACCTCCAAGATCATCAAGTCCAAACCCTGATAACCTAAATTGTTATGTGATTTTCTGAAGTTTCTAGTGTGTTATACACATAATACTTTTCTGTACAGCTTTCAGGATCAGATGTTGTAACCAGATGCATTCATGAACATTAAATTTGGTGTGTCCTAGGGTATACAGGCGTTCTTTAAAAATACAATGCTTTACAAAATTTGGGATCATCCTTACTTTATATTAAATTTCTTTTTGCAAGTGGCATTCACTGCACAAGGGATCAGGGCAAAGTGAAGAAGAGAGACATAAATATATGAGAGAAGGCTCTGGCAGGCAATAGTTTGAAGAGGCTGAGCTTTTGCCTGCTAGCCAGTTTTGTTAGCTCATCTGATAACAAAAGCAATACCAGCACTAATACTGGCTATGGAAGACATAGTAGTTTTAGAACCTAATCTCCTTTGAAGAGAGATTAGGTTCTCCTAAATGTAACCCTGACATAGGACTGTATGGTGTAGATTTCTGAGAGAAATTATTAAAAAATCACCTGCACTTTCATATGTTTTTCAGAGCTTGTACAGTTCAACAGAGCAAAAGATGTGCCATTTTCTTAATCTCTTTCTAGCTTTCAAACCAACTTGAGTTTTCTTTTGACCTTATAGACAGGAGAAAGCAGTAATCAGAAAAGAAGCAAATATGCTATTGAAGTGGGTTCAGCTCGCTTTCAACTACAATACATGGATTGTTACTTGCTCAGAGAAGAGAGAGATGATCCAGATCCCCGAGTGGAACATTTCATACCAGACACATGGCAGGTAATGAGACACAGACTTTTTGCATTAAGTTAATGGAAATGATCTTTTTTTGTCTGTCAGACCAAATAATTGAAATAGAGAAGTAGACAAGTTATAATTTGTAGTTCCATGTTTTTCCACTAACAATTTAAGAGGGAAGAATACAATCAAAGTGCAAGCAAGTTAACTCTGACCTTCTGTAGTCTAAAATCTATATTTAAATTCTACATGCAGAAATAAAAGATGTTTTCACAGAAAGAGCACTCAATATGAACCTACTGACAAGATATATCGATGTAAGTATCTGCTTTTTCTCATAGCGAGAACTTCTTGATGCTGTAGATAATAATGAATCTGCGGTGATTGTTGCTCCCACTTCCTCAGGAAAAACATATGCATCATACTATTGCATGGAAAAAGTTCTGAAAACGAGCAATGAAGGAGTAGTTGTATATGTTGCTCCTACAAAGGTAAGACTGTATCTTACTACATACTCTGTATGTATGACTATGTTATGATTCTGAAACTGTTTGGGGTAACTTGTTACATAGTTTTAGTTGATATACATTTTTATTAGAAATGGAATATTTACATTCTGTTTTATATTTACATGTATTAGAGTATGCTTAGAAAAAATCTTCAAAATATTTCAGCTCATATAGTTTTTGTCTGTTAATATTTGTATAGCTAATTTAAGCTCAGAAACATTAATATAATTAAAAACGCTGTATGTAGCATGTTAGGTAAATGATGAGAGTACCAAAAGTCTACCAATATGATGAAATTAATATTAGACTAAGCAAGTCATGTTTTTCAAATTGAGTTCCAGAGAAAATATATGAAACTTTAAGTTAGTGGGATGTTTCTTAGTGAGAATTTCATCCTAATTGTTAAAAACTGATTTAAGTGTTGAGGTACAATGTTTTGATTTCTTCCAAAACTTTTTTTAATGTTCAGTATTATGATTTTTGGATAGTGAATTACATATGCTGTTATTTGAGAACAATCTCTATGCATTGTTTTCTGTAAGTAAAATCAAATTTGTTGTGTTTGTACTCAGGTTGGCTATCAAAATTTCATTTGAATATCAGTCTGGATGCAGAAATATATTTTAAATATGCAGCCCAAGGACTTTGAGATCATTAAAGTGCTTGTAGATGAAGTAGAGTGTGATCTATTTTAACTGCTTTGAAAGTAATTAAAATAGAGAATTAATAATGAATAACTCACTTTAGACAGCACTAAATTTCTTTGAAAGCATTTGAGTATAATTGACATTAAAGTACCATATCTTCTTAAAGTTAACATTATTGAAAGTCTAGACTTAATAGTACATTACATAGTACATTATAGTCTAGGACATTAATATCAGTGCCAAAATTGAATGCCTTTATATGTCTCAGAATATCATATATCTTTAGACATACACTCTCTGGTTTTGTTAATGATCTGCTTTATTTAAGGCCCTTGTAAACCAAGTGGTAGGAACTGTATGCAGTCGTTTCACCAAGAAACTTCCAAAGGGATTGACAATGTGTGGAGTTTTTACACGGGATTATCGCCATGATGTCATGAATTCTCAGGTATATTTTTATGGGTGTTTTAACACATAATAATAGTAATGACTTCTGTATTCCATCTGGCTTCTGAAAATGTTAATTTGAATTAGAACAATTGAGCTGTTGCTAAGTAAAAAGTTCAGGAAAAATCTATGCATACCTGTACTTAGGTATGTAAGTCTGTGGCCTACAACCTCACCTCTTCATCATTAGCAGACATGTGGGTGATTACTTGCTCTGGTTAAAAATAAAATCATTAAAATCCTTTGGTTACCAGTATACAGAAGGTACCTTATAGATGTCCAGATAGAACACATCAGTAGCTTTTACCTTGTGTATTGATGTAGTCACTCCATTATAGAAGGCCACTAGGCTGGTCTTGCTTGTACTGGGGAGCCCAGAACTGGACACAAGACTCCAGGTGTGGCCTCATCAGTGCTGAGTAGAGGGGAAGGATCACCTCCCTTGATTTGCTGTCAAAACTCCTCTAGGGCAGCCTGGGAAATCATTAGCCTTCTTTGCTACCAGGGCACGTTGCTGCCTCATGTTTAACTTGGTGTCTACTGGCACCCTCAGGTCCTTTTCTGAAGAGCTGCTTCACAGCTGGACAGCCCCCAGCATATAGTGGGGAATGGGCTTGTTACTCCCCAGGTAAAGAACTATGTACAGCTCCCTGTTGAACTGCATGAGGTTCCTGTCAGCCCATTTGTCCAGCCTGTCTAGGTCCATTTGGATGGTAGCCCAATCCTCCTGCGTGTCAGCCACTCCTCCCAGTTTGGTGGCATTAGCAGACCTATTGAGGGTACGACTTTTACTCATCATGCAGATCCTTAATGAAGACATTAACCAGGATCATCAGACCCCCTTGTTGATCCCTGGGGTACACCTCTGGTTACTGGTCTCAGATAAATTTTGTATCACTGATCACCAGCCTCTAGGCCCAGCCTTCCAACTCGGTTTTCAGTCCACTCACTCTCTGCTCATCTGGCCCATACTTCAACAACTTGCCTGTGAGAATCTTGTGGGAGATGCTGTGTGTAAAGCCTTAGTGAAGACAATATCTACAGCTATCCCCACATCTCCCCACATCTACCAAGCCAGTCTTCTCATGATATGAGTTGGTGAAGCATGACTTCCCCTTGGTGAATTCATGCTGAAGGCTCCTGATGACTTTTCTTGTTCTGTGTTTATTTGAACATGATTTCCAAGATTAGTTGCTCCACCACCTTCCCAGGATGGAGGTGAGTGGCCAGCCTGTAATTTCCTGTGTCTTCTTTCTTGCCTTTCTTGAAGACAGCAGTGACAAACATGCATTCAGTCTTGCATACCTTGAAATCACATACATGCATATTTTAAAATGCTTTTTTAATATAGAATCTGCTTGTAGCTGGTTATTCAGTTGGCTTGAAAATAATGTTTTGCAAACCTTTGTTCTTAGATACTAGTGACAGTGCCTCAGTGCTTAGAAATCTTGATGCTGTCTCCTCGTTGCCAGAAATGGACCCAACGAATACAGTATGTTATATTTGATGAGGTAGGCATCTTTTAATAGTAACCAATTTAACAAATATAAGAAAAACCTTGAGGAAAAATGATGGTGACTTGTTTTTTCATTACATACTTTATTAGTGGTAAACAAACAGCTTTCAGAAGTATTATTTCAGACTTGCTTTCCCCTGTTTGCTGATAGCATTTATGTCCTCCAGTGAAGGAACTTAAAACTCTGTTATTCTTCAAGAGGACATACAATTCAATAAAAACTGCCAGGAACTTCCTTTTTTTCTCTCAAGTCAGTCAACTGAAAAACTAAAAGCCACCATTGTAGTCTCAATGGCACAAACAGAACATTCCAGATTGGGATCATACACATGACACATCGTACTCTGTTGATCAGACTTTCCAGGGGAAAAGTCAATGATTAATCTTGTTAAATTTAAAATTCCTCCTGTATTCTTTCTTGTAGATTAAATTAATTGCTAATGATGCCAGTGAGTATGTAGGGTACAAACAGTAAATGTAGTATTAAAATTTAAACTAATTTGCTATCTAGTTAAGTCTGGAGAGGTGTTTACTGAACATTTAATTTGGATCCATGGTCATTTGCTACAACATAAGGATTATTCGGTTCTTGATCTTGCCAAACTTTAGATTTTTGCAAAACACAAAGCTCGTGTTATGGGTACACATTGATAAGCAACGTTCTTTTCTTTTAATCCTTTCTCCCAAAAACCTAGGTCCATTGTCTTGGAGGTGAAATTGGAGCAGAGGTTTGGGAACATCTTCTGATAGCAATTCGATGTCCATTTTTGGCACTCTCTGCTACTGTCAGTAACCCGGAACACCTAACTGAGTGCGTGTGGAACTTTATTGACCACGGGAGAATATTTACATTAGTTATGAGCTGTTTTAGATAGAGAGGTCAGTTAGTATTGGAAAGACAACTGATATGGAGTTACAGTGTTATATGTATTGTGCTACCCTCACTCCCCAGTTAACACAAAACAATACTGTAATTCTTAACTTTGCAATGAGAGCACACTCTACTTATTCCTTCAGACTCTGTAACTCTGAGCTGTGTGGAAGAGTTCAGGAGGCTTTTACGTCTGTTTGAATTGCCAGAGCACACTTTTCCATCATCAGTCAGAGAAGACACCTGCACTATACATTTATATATATGTATGTATAAATATAATGGTACTATTTGACATTTTTTTTATTTGCACTCAGGGATTTAGAAAATTGCACTGAAATTAGTGAGAAGGGACTGGAAATTCTATAGTAGAAATTAAGCAGATTGTAGTAACTCATCCATTATAGTTGTACTGATTTTCTTAAAATATTTTACAAGTCTTATTTTAATTTTATTTTTGCACTGTAGGTGGTTACAGTCTGTGAAAAGGTATTGGCAACTTGCTGAGAATACAATAGAAGGAAGCTCTACAAACTCTGGAAAGAACTTTACAAGAAAATGTAAAGTGGAATCTAAAGTACAAGAACAAAAGAAATCGTATCGTGTTAGACTAGGTGTGTATCACAGTATTTTGTAACTAAGAAATAAACTTTAGTGTGGTTTCTGCAAAAAGTTCAGTCATGATGTATAAACTTAAATGTATTGTGTTTTGGTTTGTTTGTTGCTTTTTTATTAACAACAAACCTTAAGGATTAAACACTTGCTTTTTTAAACAACCAAGTACAACATAACAACATTTTTGTCTCTTCACAGTCTTGTATGAAGAAAGATACAATGATTTGGAAAAGTATGTATGTTCTCTAAAGGGCAGCGATTTTACCATTGAACATTTTCATCCATATGCTGCATTAACAGTCAGTCATGTAAGCATAACACTGGCGTCAGCATTGTTTAGCAACTGTTACATTTAGGCAGCATGGATTCCATCAAAAATATTTCTGTCTTTTTCTTTTGTTTATACTCCTTGCAGATTGAGAAATATGGTATTCCTTCAGATCTTTCTATGTCTCCTCGAGAGAGCATCCAGCTTTATGACACAATGGCAAAAGTCTGGCAAGAGTGGCCAAGGGCACAGGTGGGCATACACAGCTGTGAGCAACACTTATCAAAATAAATAGATGACAAAGTACTAGAGTAACAAAGTAATAGATTAAGAACTCTTTATATTAACATTAAATATTAATATTGTTCCAGGAGCTAGATCCTGAGGAGTTTGTCTCTTTCAAGAATAAAGTAGTAATAAAAAAGGCAGATGCAAGGAAATATGAACAGGAACTGAAGAAAGAACTAAGCAAATGGATTGTGCTTGGCCAAAGGCAGAAGGTAACAGTTGCTAGAGGGCATTTTCTTAAGATTTGTCCAGCTTTAGTATAATAGTAATTATATCTAGTAATATAGTTATGGGAGTTTGTCCATATTTCTCAGGTCTAACTGCTGCTTTACTTGAAAGATAAGCACTATTTGTAGCATTTCCATAAGCATTTTTAAGGTGATGTTTTCACATCTCTTGAAATCAGACTTCTGATACTGCTGTGAGATATCAGTTCGTGATTCCTTTGGGTACCTCCTGCAATTGATGAGAATATTGTACCTTTGCTCTGCTTTTTTAGTCTACCTCTTTGTTGTTGCTTATATGAAACTTTCTGTGTAACCACAGACATTATGTATGTTCCTATGTAAAAGGCAGAAATTCAAGCAATGAGCTGAAACCCAAGGCCTTGTTTTGAGGCTACCTATTCCTATGTCATAAAAAAGAATATGACAATGTGATTAATTAGCAAGGAAAAAATAATATGTGGGGAAAACCCCAAAGTTCTTAAAATATGACACTTAAATGTGAACATATTTCATCATCAGTGTTAGTGATACTTTATTATTTGCACAGTAGGTGGTAGCCATAAATTCTATTTTGAGCTCTTGCCAAAGTCAGCTGATAAATTGAAGACCTTTTATTCTGTAAACTATAAGTGACTATCCATGTTCTGAATGATTTGAGAAATTTGAACTGATAGAATTTGACACAGGAAAATGGAGTCTTTATATTTGTTAGATTCCAGACAGAGTATCTGCCGTTAAAATCTCCACAAAAATATTACTTTCGTCAGGTGAATGAACTACTGGAGCACCTTAAGCCAAAATCTGAGGATTGCTCAGAATGAGGAGAAGTGGGAGCATTTTGCAAACTTTGTTGATAAGTTACATGAGATGGATAAGTTGCCTGCCATATTTTTTATGTAAGTATGTACATGTCATGTATTATACATGTATTGCCTATATTCAGAAAAATGAGTATGGAGATAAGCATTGATATGGCATGGCAAATGCCATTTACATGGTATTTATTACCTTTGCTTTAAAAGTGAAGGTCTGCAAGCTCTCTCAATCCAGGTGTCTTTATGGCAGTAAAGTTTAGCTGAAATAAACATGGGAGCATTTAATCACTGTGTGGAAAGGATAGAATCCATGCATGATGTCTGAGAAAATTACAAGAACCTTAATTACATTAAAATCAGATTCTCAGTTGCTTTGCTCGAGTGTAGTCAGTAAACTTGTGGAAAGTGTATGCTGTCTATTTAGAGGTGGAAATGATTTATGTAAAGACAGATTTGCCAGGGAAAGGTGTGAGATATGATTTAGTTAATGTATTCTTTTGTTATATGGTGAGAGTCCGACTGCATAGCCTCTAAAAATCTCATCTTACATCCAGTGAAAATGCATCAGTCAACTTGGTTTGCATATGAGATGTAGTTATGTAATATCAAACATGCACAGCTTTGATTGTACTGATAATACCAATATTGTCAGTGATGTTGCTTATATTAGTAAAATAGGCATGTACTTCAATGCTGGACTTAATAAAAATACGCTACTTATCAGTAAGCAGCTGTCTAGTGCATCCTCTTGCTGTAATAACGCATTGGAACAATCATGTATAATGGAAAGTTTGCTCATCTCAGTATAAAGCCTTGCCTCTTCTTGCATGAAACACTAGGATTAGCATGCTCACTGCAGTTTCGGTCCTCACATGCTTATGTGAAGGTTAAAATTTTGCACCTGATCTTGGTGATTGAACAGATTTGAATGTGAATATTCTAATGGGTTGGATGCAGCCTCACTGTATGTGTTGCCAGCATCTTGTATAGTTTTAGTTAACATTATCTGTCTGCAACAAGAGGAATGAAAAAGATTCCTTTTGAGAGTGAAGCTGGAGAAGTCTTCATCCCAGTTAAACTCCACAAACAGTCCAACAGTGAAAAAGCTATGAGGAAAAACAGCAATGTAGAAGATGAAGACAGGCACTGATTCTCAGTTGGGTAGTTGAGAAGAATTAAAGTGACTTAAGCTGCAGTTTACTTTATGTCCAAGTAGGAAAACATATAGTTGAGCATACTTCCTGTAGATAATTTTTTGGTAGAACCATTTTACCACTCAGTTTTGTAATAATAGCTGTTTGAAAGTCAATGTGGAGTATTTGAATTCGACATGGAATAGGGATAAGCTTCTAATGTTTAGATTCTAACTATCTTCAGATGATAGGGTACACTGAATACTATTTTAACAGCATTACATACAAATTTTAATAAAACTGTATTAGAGTTCACCTGTCTGATGTATATTATATATTGTTTACTTGAAGATTTAACATCAATTCAGTGGAATGTGCAGCCATGACTGTATTCTCTGAATTGCTGAAAAAACAAAAATGTATACAAGGTCCAGATCCTGAGACTGAACAAGAGGATGTAAGGAAAAAACTAGGAAAAGTGACCAAAATGCTAACAAAATTCCCTGAGTAAGTATTATAACAATATGTTATGAAAAAGCTTACGTATTATGACAGAGTGTAATTTTGTGATAACTTCTTTCTGGGGATTGCACCTTTCAGCAGCACATCCATCTAGCTTGAGGTGTAGTAGTCCTGTTCTTCTTTGTGCTCTAGTCCCCCACGCTGTTGGAGCAGCTGAGTGCCGGTATCAGTGAGCAGTACCTACTGTGTAGTCAGGCAGCAGGAGGCACTGCTGACATCCTGTAAGGTGCTGGCACTACAACAGAAAAATCAAAGAGAGAGTGTATGAGATTGGTCAGTTTGGAGTAATTAACTACTGAGATATCAACATATCAGAACAGCTCCATTTCCAATCGGTAACTTTAGTCATGCAAGTCTTAAAAACAGTGTAGCATTTGACCCTGGTTCTGGGTCAGCCACTGTGGGAGAATATTTTCATAGTTTAGCCTCACCAGGGTGGTGGATCTATGAAATACAGGTTCACCTGAATGTTGAGATCCTATTTTAATATTTGTCAGCCTTTTGTTTGGATTGTACTGTATTTGTTTCCCTTTAATGTCTAATTTTATTAATTTTAAGATCATAGAGTATGGATTTTTATAAGACATTTGGGAGTTAAATATGGTCTATATTTATCAGGAATGTCAGGAACATAAAGCATTCTGGTTTTGTCCTCCTAATGACAATTTACAGTATATTCTTTGGACATAATATCATGGTAAAATGAACTTAGCTGACTTTAATAGTAGTAAGTGAGAACTTGAAAATCCAGTAGGAATTTAGACACATATTTAGACATTGAAGTACCTTAAAAATTTGCCCTTAAATAGTTTTCTCTCCCCACTCTTCTTCAAATCCTGTCCTAAATCCTTATAGTTCATGACATTATTGGCAGTAAATCCATCATGTTTTTCTTTTAATCCTTCTCCTATGAAATATAGTTAGCTTACAGATTTGCTAATTGAGGTACTTATGGTCTCTGTCTTTACCTTTCTTAATTTTTGTCCTCTCTACTTCACCCCAAATTACTTGCAGTTTTTCATATGAGCCATGATAAAATGAAGCTGTCGGCATTATCAGTAGATTTACATTAACAGATCTCCTTACAAGTTTGAGCCTACAGTTTTAAAGGGAATCAGTCTGCATCTTTCAGTATCCAAAGAACATTTTGGAATTGAGAAATGTATGTTAATGACAAAAAAAAATAAATTTTAATTGTACATTTTATATAGGGATACCAGAAGGTTGAGCGCTCATAAAATGAATACCATGGAACTTCTTTTGGCTAAAAAAAACCACCTAGAAATAAGGCTTAAAATGCTAACTACTATCCCTTCTGGGTGTACTTACGCTGATCATAAAGCAGTGGATGATGATGTAAGTAATTCACTGATAAATCTAACATGTTTTTTTTTTGTATGTCTAAAATGTGTGTATTTGTGCACAAATGCATAAAAAGTTTATAATGATGCAGTTGTACTTTATAACAGCATTCATTGACTTCAAGAAATATTCTAAGTATTTCCATTTAAATGCGATTCCAATCTTAGATAACTTTATTTTTAAGACGTATGGACAACTTTCATTCTGCCAAATAGAAAGATGTTGACTTCTTCTTGCAGTAGTTCTGGGATGTATAATACAGTTAATTCCTTTCCATGAATTTCCAGCAATACAGTTCTATTACTTGTTAATTTGACTCTTGTAATGTAGTGTATATGGCACATTTGTGTACTTAACAAAAGATTTTTGAGACCTTCATATCTTGTAAAAATACAAATTAATAAATTTTTTTAGACTCCAAAAATTCTGGTCCTCACAAAGCAAAATTTTCTTTGCTTTTCAATGTGTTTATGTCCGCTGAGGAAAGAAAAGATGAGAAAACCACTGAAAATCTGCAGATGTTTATCAGAAATATTAATGTATATATTTGCATAGAAATAATGAAGGAATAATTCATGTAATTAATTTATATGATGTTGTTTTCACCAGTAGTGGGTGACTGAACCTTGATCCAGGAGATTTCCTCTGGTCTAAATTTTGTAAAACAATAGCAATGGCTTCATATAGCTGTCTCTTCATGGAGCAAATGTAATTGTGATAAATAGCTCTTAATTCTTAATTTGATGAAGTGTCTTGATAATACTTTCTGCTTGTGATTTGTCTGGAAAGGGGAAAATTCTGTGCATTGGGACCAAACTCATGATGCTTTATCTTGGGAACTTTGAAGTCCAATGGCATTTTTGGACTGCTGTCAGCCAGTGTGGAAAGAACACTGCTTCCCACAGTAGCACATGGGTTAAGGCAGTGAAGAAGTAACTTAAAACTTCAGAACAGATAACACTGAGCTGTATAGTGAAGTTCAGAAAATACTGAAAAATTAACAACACCTGGTTATGCTTAATACTCGCTGCGGTTAATACTTAACATTTGTTTATTTGTAGACTTTGAGGAAGATTTTTCATTATCTTAGATTTGAGAGAAAAGGTTCTCTGCAGCAAAGTATGGCACTGAGGGGAATTGGGTATCATCACGGATCTATGTCTGCAAGGCAAAGACGAGTAGTGGAGATGCTTTTCAGGCTAGGATACGTGAAGGTTGGTGAATTGTTATCAAATTTTTTATTTCTTTTTTAAAGTCTTAGTTTCTCCATGTATTTAATTTTGAAATACAGTGTACCTTTCACTAGTAGTAAAATATATTGCATTGGCATGCAATAAGTGCCTCAGCCTTTTCTTCATCCTTTGCCTTTATATTTTCCCCCACATTTCAGTAAAGGATGGAGATTCTTGTTGGTCCTCCTTTTGTTGCTAATGTATTTATAGAAATATTTTTCATCTTTTACTGCAGCAGTCAACCAAATATGCTTTAGTTAAATGAAGTCTATAGGTTTATTATATATTGTACTGTCTTCATGAAATATTTCAATTTGTGTTCAATTTCAGTATTATTTCAATGTATTATTTATTTCAATTTTCATAAGAGATGTGGTATAACTTTCAGGATAAAAAGGTTCAATATGCAAATGTAATAACTATATGAATTACATTAAAGAGTGAAATTCCTTTATGCTCATAGCTCTGTTAAATTCACCAAATTAAAGTATATCTATATGAGAAATTATAGTAAAATTCCTGTTGATTTAAGTTGAATATTACAGGTGTTGTTTTTTTTCTTAAATTGAATATTGCCATTTCTAATAGATACACTCGTGTTTGTTATTTTATAGGTAGTCACAGCTACTTCATCTCTTGCTCTAGGAATCAACATGCCATGTAAATCTGTTGTTTTTGCTGAAGATTCTGTCTATTTAGATGCCTTAAATTACAGACAGGTATGGAAATAAAACACCCACTTTGTATTACAAGAACAGTATACGAGTGTACTACAGTGTGTAGTCAGAAGACCTATTTCAGCAATTATAAGATTACAATTGCTGAGTGAAGTAAAGACATATATTTGGCATTTAGTTATGGAAGCTGGAAAAACAAAAGCTGTTTGGTTCTAGCCAGGGTTTTACAAAGTGAAAAATACACTGTAAGAACATACAGTGGGATTGTAATGATGAAAGGAAAGATTGTTGAGTGGATTAATGGGGACATTTGAGTTCTTTCTGTCTTGGAAGTGGCACTTCACAATGCCACACGGCAGTGTGTAGCTGAGATTGCAAATGCAATAAAGTAGAATGTCTCTACTCACAGCACAACTTACTGGGTGGGTTGAGAGACTCTAACCTCTTCATCAGCACCTGTTTCCTGCTCTTGTGCTACTTTTCAAACCAATATTCATGAAATACTGCCAGTTTGCCTCAGGATCAAGAGGCCTTATAGGCTGTATGCAGTTGATGGCATCACCTAGCAGGTGGCTCTCAGAGTTTGTGTGATTGGATCTGTGCAATACCTGGACCTGTGTGCATCTCCTTTCAGCTGGACATAGATATGTATGACTCCAGCTTTATCACATCATCTGGTCAAGGGGCAAGTCCTTACAAGGGGACCAGACAAAGGATAGGTGATCCAAGCAAGAGAATACACCCATAGGAAGGTTCTTCCTGCTCTTTTTTTATATTCTCTGCTCTTTATTCATTCTGAGACTACCTTTGCTCCAAATCTACTCAGAAATTATTCAGAACTAAAGGTAACTTGAAAACAAAGCAAGTGTATAGATATAAATAAAGTTAAAATTTACCTTGAAGAAAAATAAATGTTAAAATGACATTTGAGAGAATGTAAGTATCCTGGCCAGTGTTTAGGTCTTCCATTAAATTTGGAAGTTCATATTAAAAAAAGTAAGGAAACACTCGACATTTGTAAAACTAGCTAGATTTGAGGTGCAACATATTTTGCATACATTATTTTAATAATTCTGCATAAATGCTTTATTAAGACTGTATAGATTGTATATACAAGTTAGGTGTTTAAAATTAATAATTTTATTGTATTAACAATATAATTAATAAATATTTTATTCTTAGATGTCTGGGCGTGCTGGAAGACGGGGACAAGATATGATTGGAAATGTGTTCTTCTATGACATTCCACTGCCCAAAGTGGAAAGACTTATCAAGTCCAATGTACCTCAGCTGAAAGGCCAGTTTCCTCTGACTGTTTCCTTAATATTGAGACTCATGCTGTTTGCTGCGAAGGCTGATGACAAAGCAGATGCTAGAGCAAAGGTTTAATATTTTTTTCTTAACTTTAATATAATTAAATAATATTGTTTCTTTAACATGAGCAGAAAGTTATGCACTTCTCAAGTAAACAGCCTGCCCAAATGAAATGGTATACTCTGCTATAACTGCTTCTAGTACCTGTGCCATCTTCTCCACACTATTCTACTGTCCATTGTCACATATTTATTCTTTGCAATAAATTTTATCATCAGAAAGAATGCCACTAGCACAAAGATAATTTTATCAACTTTTGTTCTGTGCAGTATATGCATTGAACTGGAGAATCAGCAACTCTTCCAATATTTAAAATTTTAGTTGTACTTGAAGAAAAGGTGTGAACATGTATTTCCATAGGGAAGATAAGTGCTGTGAAGTGCTATCTCAGTTGAAACAATGACGAAATTCTATGCATTGCTAACTCATTTAAATACACATACTATCTATCTGTAACCAAAGAATTCTTATTCTTGCCATTTAATGCAGTGATTTAAGTAAACAAACCATACAGATTTCAAGTTGGTCAGAGATCTCCTCTTGTAAGTGTTAAGGAACTCTTACCTCCAGATGATCTGATTTTTACATCCACTTCAGCATATAGACATTTATTTTCGAGAACTCACTAAATGAATTCAGACATAAGTCTTCTTAAGATAACAAAGGAGATTGATAAACTTCTGTGTTAAATATTTATTATGTTCAAAAGGTATTATAGTGAAAGGAGTAATTTCAAAACTTCCTGGGTTTAGTTTAATGATATTTAAATCCTTGTCTTTTAGACAATTCTATATGAATTTAATGTAATTAACTTTACAAACCCCAGCATAAATTTTGAATATAAGCACACATTTGACAGACAGAGGATACATTTGTTCACAAGCATTTCCAATAGTTAGGCATTCAATTTACATAAAATTTAAATAACCTCCACATAGCATTTTTAATTCTGAGAACCAATTGATGAAACAAAGCAGTAGAAGCTGGATATTCAATTTTTTTCTTGTTACGGTATCAACATTCCTTTGGATTTCTGATTTCTAGGTTTTTATACTTTCTTTTTCCTTTTTATTTGACCAGGTTTTGTCAGTGTTGAAGCATTCACTGATGTCATTCAGAAAAGAAAGATATCGCTGAAATATTAAAAATTTATTTTGTGTTTTCCTTGCAATTTCTTATCAAAGAGGTATGTTTTGACTTGTTCCCATAAAGGATAGTTCTTCTTAAATCTACAGATTCTTATTTGTTTATGTTTGCATATTTTAATGTAAAGAACCATTTACTTTTTATTTTATAGCAATAGGCTATTTCTTTGTGTTACAAATTTAAGGAAACATATAAAATTCTAATGTCTTAAGTCTGAGGTTAATTCTGAGCTACTTAGGTCATGGAATAAATTCAATAGGCAATGGTCTATAAGATTACAAATAGATTAGGAAAGTTAGAGTTGTGCATTTATATTATGTATGAAAATGCATGCATGTGAACTGATAGGAGTTTAAAACATACTAAGGATGACATGATTTCCAAAGCAAAAGTTTAGGAAGTGTATCTTAAATAAGACTGAAAATTAGGTGTACATTTCTCCATAAAAATAGTTTTCAGTTTGATGGATACCATTTTGGAAAACTGTTATGCATGACTCCATTTTGGCTTACAGCCAAGGACTACAGGCAGTTAAGTGATTACATTAACAAACCATCTGTGCCCAGGTTTCCCAGTCCTGCTCCTAGTATGAGTCCTAATCTACATTTCTGCCTCCTCTTCTGGGTGTCTGCTGTTTTTGAGATGAGTGGTCTGATGCTTCTGTTGAAGAGGAGAATCTGATCAATGTGCAGGAGAGATTAGTAATGTTTCCAAAAAGTTATAGTTAGGATAAGAACTGGACAAATCCTGGCCCACGTACCTAGTATCCTGCCTCCAATAATTAGTGTATTAAAAAAAAAGACAACTGTATGATGATGATTCTCTGGATACTCCATACTTGCTTACAGGGCACAATGCAAAGTGATCTCTGATAGGAGAGCTGTCCTGGAATTTATAGCCTTTGAAGGAGTTTTATTCCATGAGCTTGTCCTGTTGCTTTTTAAAACTATATAGGCTTCTAGCATCCAAACATCTTGCAGTAAAACATTTGACAGATCACTCTTGCTATGTTTTTATCCTGTCAAACATTTAGATTAATATTTTTCTCTTTAACGCACATTGCATCAGGTCTTAGTTTGATAACTGTGTGCACGTTTCATTTGCAACATGATCTAAATCTATGAGGTCAAAATCTGTACTTGGACAAATTTTTGCCTTTCAGTGTAAGTTCAGTAGTCTCAATAGGTACCTATACATTAGGCTGAAACACTGTTCTGAATATCACAATTTTATATTTTTGTTGTATCTAATTTCATCTTTTACAACTAAGCTATTTTTTTGCTTTCAAATTAAATAGGGCTACTTGGATCAAGAATGTAACCCCATAGGATTTGCTGGACTTGTGACACACTTGTACTATCATGAACCTTCAAATTTCGTTTTAGTGAGCTTTCTTACGAAAGGTTTATTGCACAAATTGTGCCAGCCAATTGAAGGTAAGTAATACTCCATGCATGTTGATTGCAATCTATGGCAGGGTCTGTAACCCCAGTGATTCTGGATGCCTTCTTGCTGCTGCCATCTTTGCTTGCCTCACCTTCATCTTCAGATCCTTGAGCTCTGCCTCTACACACTTTTAAGCATATACTTAAATTTCTGTCTGAGAAAGCCAAGGCACATATATGGCAATGCTAGTATCATGAACTTCTATTTGCTGTTTGTGAAACATTCTGATGAGGTAAAAAGTAATGCCATACATAGAAAAATTAATAATTCTGACTCCAGAGTAACATTTGAGTTCTATGTAGCAAATAGAATGGATGACTATGAATATCAACAAATGAAAAAGTAAGTACTACTAAGGTCTCATTACCTGAGTTAAATCTATTCTGTCCAATGAGATATGGTACAATATGTTAACATATAGGAATACAGTAATGACTTGTACATACTATCAGTTGCTTACTTATCTACTCATGATCTACTACTATTTTGTATCTCATGAGTTGATCTTTATCCAATATAGTTTTGCATAACCTCTGTCATGACAGCTGTTATGACAAGAAGAAAAGCTGTTATGTCAAAGAAGAAACTCCTGAATGGGAGTTGTTTATTGTAAGCAAAAAAAAAAAAAAAAAGAACCAACAAAAACCCCAAAAAAACTCACATAACTTTTTTTTATACTTTCATATTTAACCCAAGCACTTTCTGTTTTGACATAGGCTCAACTGTTTTTTCAGAAGATGTCCTGGAAACGCTAGTTCTCATTCTAGCAAACTTATTTGGGAGAAAGTATCTTCCAGCCTGCTCAATGAAATACAAAGGCCAATCTTACCCAGTCAAAGGTAGAGAAAGCATTTGTCTTTACTGTAACTTGTGTTGTGTACCACTTCAAAGAACTTGATTCCTTTTCTCAGCAAGACTGGTGTCATTATGGATGTACAGCAGCCTGGTACTGCCCACCCAGATGCTCTCTTACTCCTCCATCTCAGCAGTGTGAGAAAATAGTATGAAGGAGCTCAAGCTCATAGGTTGAGACAAGAAATAGGGAAATTGCTTACCAGTTAGGATCAAGGGCACACCAGTCTTAACTTGTGGCAAATGAAATCAATTTGTTGCCAATTAAAATGGATCGTGGTAGTGAGAAACAAAACCCAAAAATTTTAACACCACCTTCCCTTACCTCTGCCATCCTCAGGCTTAACTTCAGTCCTTCATTCCTGACTCCTTTACCTCTCCCTCACCCCAAGTAGTACATGGCTGATAGGAAATTAGAAATGTGCTGTAATCCATTCTTAACAGCTCTCTACGCCGCTCCTTCCTCATCCATGTCACCCCTGCTCCAGTGTGAGTCCTATCTGTGGTCTGCAGTCCTTCAGGATAAATCTGCTCCATTGTGGGTTCTCCATGGGCTCTAGTTTTCAGAAAACATTGAGTGGCTCAGGCATGGGTTTCTTCACAAGCTGCAATGTGGGTATCTGCTCTGGCATGGTCCTCTCCATAGAATGGCTGCAAGGAAATCCCTTCTCCCCCGTGCTCTCCTCTACAGGCTGCAAGGGAATCTCTACTTCGTTACTTGGAGCACCTCCTCCCCCTTCTCACTCTGCTCGAGTTTTGTCTGCATCTAGGGAGTTGAAGTTTTTTGTGACATAGCAGTGATCCAGAAGGACCCAGCATGCTCTGTGGTACATGACACTGTAGGCTTAAGGCTTTTTCAAAAAATGGGATAGTATTAGTGTGATGAGCATTATCATTAGTTCTGCACAAAGTTAACTTGGGTGCGGGCAGAGGAGTGAGATATTTGTAATGTGCTCCTGTTGGCTCTTCTACTACACAAGGCGTTAAAATGTTGGAGAACACAGCTATGGCTGGAACAACAGAGGAAACTACTTCTTTATTAAACTGTTTATGTGGCCAGTTTCCAGCAAGCATTACAAGAGAAAAAATGTTATTTATTTCTGAGAAGTGGTTAGTCATGTAGGAGGGATTACAGGGCTGTGGTGACTAATGGCAGCCATCAGTCTGTCATGTTGGTAAGGGAAAGGCAGGCCTTCAAAAGGCCCCTTATAGCTAGATAGAAATATCTAGTAAAGCTGTTTGCCAAGTTACCCTGTAAGGAATTTTATACTGTTTATCTTCCACGCCTTTTCTGCTTGAAATTCATGTTCATCTTTAAGGTCTGTTAATTCCAAATGTCCAGGCAGTCTGACAAGCTGGATAAAGGTTGAAACTGCTCTTTCCTTCTTCTATCAATATGCTATGTTTGTACTAATATTTTATGTATGGACTAATGGAGAACTGACATTTTGGACAAATTACCTACATTAAGCAATAAATTGCATGTTATTTAAGGTCTTCCTAGAAGATCTACCAAAAGACTTTGCAGATGCTTTAGATGAATACAACACCAAAGTACAGGAATATTTTGCTCATTTTCTTCTGACAACTGCCAAGCTGGCAGATATGGAACAAGAATACAAACTTCCATTGTCAAAGACAGGTATGAAGTGAAAAATTAATCCATGTTTATAATTTGTGAAATTGATTGTATTAGGAAAATAAGGTTATTCTTATTTTGTAAAGAAAAAACTTATGACTTGAGATACAGTAATAAAGAGCTAAAATTTCTATTTCACTTTTGTTTTACAAGAATTACTGATTAATTTGTATGTGGCAGAAGTTTTGTACAGAGAAAGGATCATTTTAGTTGCTATTCTTCCATTATTCTGCAGGGGGAAAAAAACAAAGGGACTTTTCTATAAAAGAAAAAAAACTAAGTAAAATTATTGAATAAAAGCCTTCTTATCTGATCATCAGTACATTTGCAGATCCTCAAATGCCTAGAATACTTGAATTGCTTTCAGAATCTTACCAAAGATTAAATATTCAGCACGTGAACAGCCTTAAGATTGAAGTATCAATTAAAGAACATCACAATTTTTGTAAAAATCAACTGAGTTATTTATGCCAGTAAGTGATGTTTAATAAGAAAAGCAATATGAAAGGGCAAGCAAATTACCAAGCAATATAGCTTGCCATTGGGTGAAAAATATTTAACTACTCTATAATCTCAAGTTACATTCTGTAAGAGAGATATAAAAGCAATGTAATATACCACTATTCCATTGCCTAGCTCCTCTAAAAAACATGCCTTCAAAAATAATATTTTTGCAATAAGAAAGCACTTCAGATATAGGCCATCCTTTATTCTGTCCTTCAACATATGAGAGAGTAAAAGATGTTCAAGAACTAAGTCTTCTAATAGTAACACTGCCTTTGGTTTTGGCATAACTTCAAGCTGTTAGCAATTTTGGCTATAGATGAGTCAAGAAGAAAGGTTTAAGTCACAAGGGGGATTGAGACATAGTAATTCTTACCATTAGAAAGCTCTTTCATAGACGCTATAATCAGCTGGGAGCCCCTGGTGGTCTAGTGGTTAAGGGCACGGCGCTGTCACCGCCGAGACACGGGTTCGATTCCCCGTCAGGGACACTCCCTGGGCAGATGGAGCTCGTTAGCCCTGTAGGCAATCCATCTACGTCCTAAGGACCTCGCTGCCACCGTCCAAGCTCGCTTGGCCCCGGCAGATGAACCTTAGGATTAAAGGGTGGGCTCAGTTCCGCGCACACTGTGTCTCACCTAAAAAATCCAGTGCGCAGGCTGGAAGGTGTAAAGACCTTCCCCAGATCTTCGCTCGCGAAGACTGGCCATTATTATTGTAATCAGCTACACAGAAGTTCTTATGAACAAAATAAACAAAGATCTATCAAGAAGGATTTAACATTGGAACATTAACTCTATTTCCTGTCACTATCTACTGCACTGAAAACTTACCGCTTTTAAACTAGATTGCTGAAACGGGGGTTGTGTCTCTATAGCTTATGCTGTATATGAAACTTCTTGTCTAGACTTTACATCTCAGAATTGGCATGGCTCTGAACTAGCATCTTATTTGATGGACAACACCAAAAGCATATCTGCCATCTCACCTTTTGTATGTTTATCTGGAGTGGTTGATAATGATCTATTTCATGGGGACATCATTAATAAAGTAAGTCATTTTTGCATGGGGGAGAGAATTTTATTGGATTTCAATAAGTATTTGTTTAATCACAATCCTCTTCCCTCTGTCTAATATGATGGCACTATTTACAAGTGTCACTCTTTAGGAGAAATAATTCAGAAAGTGTCAAAAAACAAATATCCAGCACCAAGTAGCACCACCTTGTCACAGTGCAAAAATCACAGAATAGATGGATGTAGAAAAAAAAAATCTGTAAATCTTTTGCTTTCTTGCAAGGTCTCCATTGCTTTTGATTCTGAGACAAGTAAAATAAAATTTCAAACCATATCTCCAGTTTGTTTTCTCCATGTCAGGAATTTTCATTTTTGTTTTTAAATGAACCACACAGTAATCAATATGGCACTGATTGCTTTGTAACTAGAATTGTGTTAGATAGCATATGAGTTAGCTTAATGCTAATATAAACCAACACGTTTACTGTCAACTTGCATTTTCCTGTGTTATTCTACGTGAGCTTTGCAGTATTAGGGAATTAACACAACTCATAATTCTGTAAATAGTAAAAAATTAAATTCCTACAACTAGGGATTTGGAATTCACCTTCATCCTTAAAATGTTCCATGTTTAAGTGTAATATCAGTGAGTCTTAATAGATGATCTATGCATATGGAAAAGTCCTAATCTAAAACTCAAGAGAAATAAAGCTGTCTCGTCAAACTTTAAATTATGCAGAACACCCCATAGCTGCACTAGCAGTTTAAATCACATTACTAACAAACTCTCTCCTGTGTCTATAGTCTAGATGTACTTGTGAAGATTTTTGGAGTGGATTAGAAGTGTGGAACTTTTCAGCTGTGGGCCTAAAGTTGTAGGTTTGACAAAACAGGCATATAAACAAAACCACAGTATCTATTCAATAATTTTTTTTCGGTTTAGGCTGTCTTACATTCTCTTGGCATTAATGTCAGAAACTGCCCCCTACTTCATTTGAAGAAGTATGATAATCAGGGAAGGAGGATGCCACTCAATGCATATGCACTGGACTTTTATAAGCACGGTTCCTTGACTGCATTGACAACTGATAACTGGTATGTACTATCATTTATAATACTGTTAAACATTACAGTATGGTACACAACTTTATCTTTTTGGTTTTAAAGCCTTCTCCCTGCAGAATTTAGGGATGAAACAGCTGTTAAATATGATTAGATTAGTTGAATGTTTTAATAGGAATAAACCAAACTGAAGTCTAATGGCAGTGGCTGTAAAATACTATCTGGCTATTCAAAATAGGACCATAAATGGGAAATCTTGACTTCAGCAACATGAGTCATTTTGACAGGCTCTTCAGAACATTTTTTATTTAATCAAGCTTTTTTTCACAATGAAAAAGGAGACTCTCTGAAATGAGGAAGTCCAGTGCAGTAGACCAGAAGATGGTAACATAGGAGCAGAGAGATGTCAAAAGCTTGGTCAAATAATACAGAAATAGATTAATGAGTGAATGAATGATCAGTGTCAAAAGATACATGGCATCCAAAACACAAACTCAGGCAAAATTTGTCAGTAATTTAGTATTTGTATTGGTACTGCTTTGAAACTTCCCTTTTTCCTAATTTTTTCTAAGCATTTAGCAACTTGGCCTGATAAATCAATCCTACTAGGATTTCTCTTTAAAGGAAACAAAAGCAAAAACAATGCACAACCATACACTAAAAAAACCTCTTTGCCCAAGCTGGCCAACCACTATCACATGGAATCATATTTTCACATTTGAGTCCATGGTATATGCAGTCTTTCTCTCTTCTTTTTGCCTGGATCACACACACTGCAGTTTTTCCAAAACTGGAGTTTTAATCTTCACTTTTATGTTGTCTTGCCTGTATTTTTTAACACTGATCATTAATTCACCTTTAAACTGTTTCTGTATTATTTGACCAATCTTTTGACATCTCTCTGGTACTATGTTACCATCTTCTGGACTACTGCATTGAACATCCTAATTTCAGGGACTTCCCTGTTCTTCATTGTGAAGAAAACCTTGATTACATAAAAAACCCTGAAAGTTCAACTGATGAGCAAGTCAAGCTCTTACACTTGATACAGCTCCTAACAAATAATCTTTGACACTCTTTCACTTCCTAATTAAGCAATTTATACACTGCATTAGTCTTCTCAGAAGCTAGATTTGAGATTTTTATTTTGCTCTTACTGTTTACAGTCCTGTTGTCCTCTTCAAACTTTTAGAGATCACTTGCTAAATGTGATGTGTAATTTTCATCATTATCAATTTTGCCTTTGATCCTCACTGGCCTTCTGTAAATTCATTCATTAAATCCATCTCTCTATAAAGTGTCTAGCTTTTAGTTCTTAATGAAGCCATTCATGTAACTGTTTTATTTACAGCCTTGGTTCAAAAAAGCTCAAGCACAAGCTCCCTCTCTCAGCTCCTCTTACCAAGTATCTTAATTTTTCTGTCATGCTCATAGCCAGTAACTTTTGAGTAAGAGAATACTACCGCACCCTGGGAGTGCTATTGGCAGCATAGAATATATTCTGCTTTTTTGTAAACTCCTCAAAGCAGATTCTAATCAGAATAATTAGAATACACATTGCATGCAGTGTTATGATTACAATAGGAGAGTTTGGCAATAATGCCATGTTATGGAGACACATGGAAATATACCAATTACAGTATCACATTGATTCTATCAAGCTGATCTAGTAAAGTATGTCCATGCCCACAGCAAGGGAGTTGGGACTATAAAATGTTAGAATGGCCTGGGTTCAAAGGGACCTTGAAGATCATCTAGGTCCAACCCCCTGCCACAGGCAGGGACACTTTCCAGTAGACTAGGTTGCTCAAAGCCCCATCCAACCTAGTCTTGAACACTTCCTGGGATGACACATCCATAGCTTCTCTGGACAATCTGTTCCAGTGCCTCACCACCCTTAGAGTAAAGAATTTCTTCCTAATGTCTAATCAAAACCTACCCATTTCCAGTTTGAAGCCATTCCCCTTGTCCTATCACTACAGTTCCTGGTGAAGAGTCCCCCTCTCTCTTCCCGGTAGCCTCGCTTCAGATACTGGAAGGTTGCTGTGAGGTCTCCATGTAACCTCTTCTCCAGGCTGAACCGCCCCAATTCTCCCAGTCTGTCTTCACAGGGGAGGTGCTCTAGTCCTCTTACCAATTTCGTGGCCCTCCTCTGGACTTGCTCCAGCAGTTCTATTTCCTTCTTATGTTGGAGACCCCAGAGATGGATGCAGTACTCCAGGTGTGGTCTCACAAGAACAGAGCAGAAGGGCAGAATCCTCTCCCTTGACCTGCTGGCAATGCTGCTTTTGATGCAGCCCAGGATACAATTGGCTCTCAGGGCTCTGAGCACACATTAGTGGGTCATGTTGAGTTCTATCATCAACCATCACACCCCCAAATCCTTCTCCGCAGGGCTGCCCTCAATCCACTCTCTGCCCAGCCTGGATTTGTGCTTGGGACTGCCCTGACCCAGGTGATTGACTAGATGATCTTTAAAGGTCCCTTCCAGCCCAAACCCTTCTGATAATTCCAGTATTTCAACACAGTATTGATTGTATTAAAAAAAAGTGCTATTCTTAATTACTGGAAACTGACTTTATTAAATTCCTTTTTAGTAATCAGTGGTCCTTTTTGCAAAGTATAGGGTCTTCCTCATTGGTAGAAAGCTTACACAATCTCCTCTCAGATTAGCCAGCAAGCTTCATCTGAAGTATAGAGTTCCAGTTTAGCTTGTGACAGGTTAGTTATTCCAATATTTGAAACCATGTTCCCAAGATAATATAAATAAATTATCTTTTCTAATATTACTCATGAGTCTTGTATGTTTAATACAATTATAGAAACATGAGCCTCTGCAGCATTATTATTTTAGGCTTGTATTTTTTTCCACACTGATCCTTATGAACTAATATGCCAGTGTTAAGAGGTCATGCCATGTGCTCTCTGCATCCTTACCCAACATATGTAACTGGGTTTATTAGAGGTGAAACAGTTATAGTGCATATATATACATTTGATTATTTTTTTATTTCTTCAGGTTAAATGAAGGAGATGCTTACAACGCCCTCAAGGATTTTTCACTCACCATTAAGGCTATTGGGTATGATAAACTTGTGCTTTTTAGAATACAGCATATTTCATTTTAAAAGCAACTTATGGAAATGAAACAATGATGTCTTTTTTTTTTTTTTTTAAACTAGAATAAGTCTGAGTGAACTATGTGATGATCCAGATGATAATGTTCTACTGGCATTTAAACAACTGAGCGAAGACTATGAAGAGAAACTGAAGAATAAAACCTGAAGAATAAAAACAAACCCAAAGCAGCAGATATTCTTACCACACAGATAGCAGCCTTTAAGTTAGAAAATTACTAGATCTGAGTTCTCAAGTGAAATTTCAGAATAAAGCTTTAGTTAATAGTCAGTGTAGGTAATACAAAGTTTACTTTAGGAAGTTAACCTTCACCAATTGACATTTTAGCAGCTCTAATGTCAACTAAATTTTTTTAATAGATTGCAAAACTAAGTAATTATACATTATCTTTCAGTTGCACTTTTTTTTTCAGGCAGTGGCATAGATGTTAAGATGGCTCTCACAGATGTACTGAACAAATGTCACAGTTCTGACAGCTGGTGAGATTAGCCTCTCAGTAGGACAGTATTAGAAACTTTCAGCTCCTTGGTGAAGGATGTTCAGCAATTATAATAAGATAAATTGTCCTGTTTTCCAAGATTTCTGTTAAATTTTGAAATAGTATCTTCATGAACCATTATAAAAGCTTTTAAACTGGTCTGCAGGTTTAGTTTACAAAATTTTAAATATATAGAGGGTTTTATATCAGAACAGGGAAGTTTGATTAATAAAAAGTTCCAACCCTATTGCTTCATTTTTCACCTCTTTAAGAGTCAGAAAGATCCAGGACACTTCCAGCATACTTATCAAGAAATCCATGCAATACAAATCACTGATGTTTAGTAAAATATGCTTTCTAACTAATTTTCTTGGTGTTTCCTTTTTTTGGGGTTTGTTGTTTTGTTTTTTTCTGGGAAGAGCAAAGTTTTCAGCAGTATTTTCATACGAATGCTTCAGTTTAACACTACCTTTTCATCTACCTGTAATTGGAAAACATATACACAAACACATACCTATGTTTAGATAGTGTAGGAAAGTGAGGCTTTGATAACATCCTCAATGACCAAGGGAGTGATGTAAGTTACTTCTCTACTGATAATTAGCAGACATGCACAAAGGACAACTCTGAATCCCATAATTGCCTAGAATTGGCTCTAGTGTTCATCCAAGATCTTGACTTTCCTGGTTCTGGATAAGATACGGTGAATTTTTGCAGTAGCCAGGAGGGGGCATGGCTAGGACATGCAGGTTATTCTATACCACCTCAAGATGAAAAGAAGTAATATTCTAAGAAAATTCAAAGATTTCAGATTAACCTTAGCTCATTAGGATTTTTTTCAATGAAGGATAAAAAAAGATTTCCTACAACTTTCTAGCAACAAATTTTATAGGTGCCTTATATGACTCTGTAAAATTGTTCCATTTCTCTCATTTTTATCAGAGGGAGACCAACTTCCATCCGTGACACTCTGCCATGATCATCTCAGCCTTTGTTTTCCATTTCTCTACTACACATGTAGAAGAACATGATAAGAATGTCTAGAGATAAAAGCAGAAAAATTCTTAGGAGAAAACTGAAATACAGTAATATTTTAGAGATGAACATAAAGAACTAGAAAACTGACAATTAAGAGAATTTTCATCACCTTCCTTACTATAATGCAGACAGAAAGGTAAGATTATTCAAGTTTTATAAATACTAGAAATACCCAGAATATTTAATAAAGGAATGCACTGCCACAGAAGAATTGAGGCCAAGAATTCAAAACAAGTAAGGTAAACACTTCCTCAAACAACAACAGTATTTCTAAGTACTATGTCACAGTAAGTCTATTAGTAAGTGTTGCAGAGATTTAAATTTAAGTAGTATTTCTCTTATAAAGTTACAGAGATAATTTGCAGATTATTTATTTTTCTAGTTGCCGCTGAGGAAGTCTGAAAGAATATTAAACATTCTGCATTTTAATACTTGCCAGTTGACATATCCATCTAACACAAAATTAATTTAAAATCTGGCACCAGCTTTTGGTGAAGAGTGAACAGGCAATGAAATAGAGCTTTACTCTGAAATAGTACTACTGTCCCTGCATTCCAATAATTATCTTGGATCCAACAAAAGGGTTAAAAAAGTAGAAAAGATAGTCTTTTTATCCTCACTTGGTAGCATATTTCACAGACTAAAATTCAGTGAGTTTTGATTAATTAATACATAGGATTTTTTCCTTTTTCTTGTTGTTACACAGATTTTAAAAGGAAGCTTTTGTCTTAAAAGCTAGGTTCTCCTAATGCTTTCATCAAAACAGCAAGTTAATATCTTTCCAAGTATACTCAAGCTGTTGCCAAAAGGAACTGAAAGTGAATTGTGATGTTTCCTTTTCCTAAACGCAGCATTTCAGAAATGGAGCTGACACCCTTCTGCAGTGTATAACAAGAACATGGATGCGATGCTTCAATTCCAAAAGTGCAAGAGAAATTACTGAAATTATATTAGAAATTGCACCTTCAACATACATTAAATACATCACAGAAAAGGAAACAGCCAAAGGGAGATACACAAGGCAATTTTCAGTAATGCCTTGACCATCCTTTATTTTCCCTGTGGCTCTCTTCCCTCCCTGCCTGTGAGGTGAATGGTATTGGCTGTACCCAAACAGCAATATACTGCCTCCTGCTGCTGAGGCTTCACCCAACCTGCCTTCGGGGACACCTCAGCTCTACACCACCCAAACATGCCCCAGTGGCACTTCTCAGAAGGTCTGCATTCTTGACGATGCAGCATTTATGGCCATACTTTTATCTTGATCAAGACATGACATTTTTGATTGTTGCCTGACTTTGTGATTACACTACAAATATTGCTTTAATGCATTGTACTTGCTGATACCTCGACTGGCAAGAATCAGAGAGAAAAACAGCTGTAAAATCACTAATATCCCCACCTTTTAATGTCTTAAGTAGCATTTATTTATTTCTAGTTTATTTAAGTATAATTATCTTCTATTTCACTCTTTCTTCATGTCTGAATTTCTTCTAGTAGACATTTTGTCTTCAGTAACAGAAAAATATTCTGATGCATGGCTGGTATCAGTAGGGACACGTTTGACCTAGCTCCTCAGTGTCAGAACTGCTGGCACTTGGCATTCCTCCTGTCTCATTTACTGCACGCACAGAACCTCCTAAAGACAGATCATTGCACGTGCCAGGAACAGAAGAAGCTGCATTCTGAAACTGTACAGGCTCGAGTTCGTCTTCCCTCCTAGGACACACACAGTTGTTTTCAGCAACAGTTTCTTCATCTTTCACCATTTTTTCTTGTTTTGTTGCTGTAGCGATTTGAGTGGAAGATGTATTCTCATATTCAACTGGAAGGACAACTGAACATAAAGGCTGACTACAGGAAGCATTACCATCACCGAGCATTTCTGCACTTTCAGCTTTTTTAGCTGAGTTCACAGGAAAGCATGAGCCTTCGCATTTTGGATGACTATGACTAGAAGGAGGCTCTGCAGACTCTGAGGATACAGGCCTCCCTAGATTCAGAAGTGTTTTGTCAGGAGATTTGCTCTTCTCCTTTTCCATTTTTTCAGTTCTGTTTCCAGAAAAAAACACAGAAGAAGTCAGTGAATCAGAGGTACTGTTGACAATACCTCCAAATGAAAATACTGATGAAGGCAATGGAAAGTTACTTTTGAAGGGAAATGCACAATTATTGGTGAGAAGGGGTGACTCAGAGACATCATTCACCCCAGCAGTAGGGTTGGTTTCTGAAGTAATGCAAGCTACAGTTGTGCTGGATTCTGAGGCATGAGGTCTTTGTTCCCGTGAGACAGATGGTTTCTGTGTACCATATCCTGCAGTTTCCTTTGCACAATGTGTTTTTTCTGTCATGGGAGATAACATTTTTTTGTCAGATGGCTTCTCAGATCGGCTAAAAAACGACGATGGTGGTAAAACCTTAAATGAATTGCCGACTTCTGATCTTGCAAACCAGTCTTTTTCTGAATTGCCAAAGGGAAACAAAACGTATGGCTTTGTACTTTCTGCTGAGTCTAAATTAGGACTGGTGGAAGAACCACAAACTGTGGTTTTGGTTTCAGGACCATGTCTATCCTGGTTATCAGTTTTATCCACATTATCACATTTCCCCAAATAAAACTGAGGAAAAGCACATTTCCTGTCCTGCTTTTTAAAGGAAGATGTACCTCTATCTTTAATTAATCTCGGTAATGAGTTGTTAGTTGCACTGAAAGTAAAAGGTACACCAGAAAGTCTCTCTGCAGAAACATCTAGAGATTCTGAACTTGAAGCAGTAACAGCTACTGTTGCTGCTGGTTTTACGCCTGATGAAGTGCTAGAATTTGTGTCCATTTCATTCAAAACAGTAGCTGAGGATGGCTGTAATTTTTCTTTACCTAACAAGTCTTTGAAGTTGTCTGAGTCTTGAGTGGTTACTTCCTGGGAATTTCCCTCATGAAATAATTGTAAGTCACCATTTGTTTCAGAGAAGTTCATATTTGTGGGTGGGATGTTTCCAATAAAGTTTCTTTTGTCAAAGCGGCCTGCTCTTCGCAGGGTTGCCGTTTTTATTTTATCTGTGTTACTTGCTTTGGTAGGTGAAGATACAAAAGGAATTCCTGAGGACTTATCCTTCGAGGCCTCAGCAGTTACAAATTTATACTTTTTATTTGCAGGTACATTTTGTGTCTTGAAGACATTAGTGAGTTTCTGAAGTTCCATATAGTATTTGTAACGTAACTCCTACAATGACAGCAAAAAAACCTATTATCTAAAATAGCATTTGTGGATTCAGAGGTTATAAAACTCACATATGGTCCTAAGACTGAAGAAAAGTTTTCATATATACTATAGCATTTATGATCTATTTTTCCATAGCTACTTGAAAGCAACAGAACACAAGTCATTACAGAAAAAAGTTATTTAAAAACAAGTGAACAAGATACAGAAGGAATCCTGATGACAAAGTAGGTTTTGAAACAGGAGACTATAGGAAGCTGTATTTAGTCACTATCAAAACCAGAAATAGCTAAAAATACTAGCTTAGATATTAAGTGACAACTTCTCATGAAAAACAGCCATCTGAAATCAATTTGGGTGGTGGGGCTTTTGTTAGTATATAAAATTGCATTCTTAATGGCAACAGAAAACAGATGTTCTCCAAATTACTATAGTAAAAGAAAAGTCAGTCTATATTTAAAGGACCTAAGCAACTTTCTCATTCCATCATTTGCCACTCATATTCTCAGAACACGCGTAATGTGATTTGCTGCCAGCCACGCTTCACTAACTGTAGCTGGAATTATTCTGTATGGAACAGTACTCAGCCAACCAAATGGAACTACTAGCAAGTGAAAAAAATCTAATTGTATAACTACATCATTGGAAACCAAACGAAAAGGAGACTGGATTCAGTTTTGTGTCAAATTATATGGCCTTAGAAGACAGAATTCTATTATCTTCAGAAAACAGAACACTGGCAGATGACTTTCTCTTCATATAAGCACTAGGGAAGCTTATTTGGATTAGAAAGTTACAGATGTGACTCAAAAAGGCACAATAAAATATAAAAGTAAGTATTTGAAGCCAGTAGTAAGATTAAGTTCCAGCTTTTTGAAGAAAAAAAGAAAAATCCTGAAAGCTTTAATACCTAGTCAGATTTCATTCTAGAATTGGAAGGGTAGCTTTCTACTAAGAAAAGCTTTTAAAATAGTTTTCAGTTATTTAGAAAGTTGCATCATAACATATAATAACTTAGCCATACTTACAACAGATGTGCAATCATACCTCATGACTCATATTTTGAAATGCTGACATTTCTGATATCGACATAAAACGAGTAGCGATCCTCCTACCATCTGCTTCGTCCTGTCCCACTACAGGCTGAAAAATGTTTTGCAGCAGACATTACATTTCATTTTGATAAGCCAAAACAGACAAAATAGTATAGTGTTGTAGACCACATAATTAATAACTTACAAGAAATGTGTTTGGTATATTCTTCTGCTCCTGACACTGCTTCATGATATTTTTAAATAGACTTGAGTTCTCGTTTCCTTCATATGGTTGACCTATTAGAAAGAACACAGGAATACTGATGGAGAGTACATTAAAAATGGAAAATACAGAAAGGCTCCTGTGCACCTAAATACTGATTCCAATTAAGAACAAAAGTATATTGCCCTAAGTGAGACCCTAGTCGTTGTTGAAACTTTTGTGATATAAAGCCAAAGGCCTGTGTAAGCAGTTTTCCAAGTGCCTGGAGAAGCCCAATCCAACGCTTTATCTTATGAGGTAAAACCATTTAATCTGAGCACAGTCAACATTCACATCACACTACAAAAAACACCCATCTAGTTCAGCAACACACTTCTGACAGCAGCGATACCAGCTGTATATGAAAATTATGATACTTCCCCCAGATGCCAAAAATATAGCCTAGGAACTTTCTAGGGAAAGCACATTTATAAAATGCATTTAAAAGCCCTCAGTGAATTTATCACGCATTTAATTTGCTCGGATGCTTTCCGAACACTCGCATGCTTTTGCCATGCAGATTGTTCATTAGCAGTTGGTTCTATATGTTGCAGGTTTCTAGAGTGACCTCCCAAATCTTGTCTTCATTAAGTCCGTTTTCCTTACCTTTAACAATGCCTACATTAACAGGTGTTAATTCCAAAGCTACGATTTCATTAACCACAGATTTGATATCCATCTTCTTTGGCATACACACCGGTGGTCTTTCCCAGCTGGATGCTATGTTCATCACGTCAAGCTGAGTTTTCATTCTGGAAAAGTTAAAAACTAAGCAATTTACAACACTTAGTTTTTACATGCCAATTAAACTACGTCTGCATAATATAAAATAAAAATTATTTTAAAAAGCAATCACTATGAGGAAGAAGAAACCAGAAAAATTAAGTCTCCAATAAAACGTCAAGTTCCTCACAATTCTTTTCCTTAAAACTTATTACTTGTTGATTCATTTGAATCAGGTTCCATACTCAATGAGAATTGAAAGTGGTGCCTGTAGTTCAGCAAAAGGATTACCCTTCTACACTTTTCTTAGTGTACTTTCCCTGAATCTAAATGATACTCACTCCTTCTTCAGAGAGCACTGCTAATGTTAGTCTGAAACACAATGTGTTTTAAAGAACTCCATTTCCAATATTCTTTCTTAAACTGAAGTTAAAAAGTTGTAAGAAATGTAATCAAGAATCTTTAGAAAGAAATTACAAGGTATGTGCACTATAAGAACAAAAACAAAGGCACTACAAAATCTTCACACACACTCTTACATTTAAAAGATTACTGTAAAAGCTCCAGCATGCTTTGGTGTTCCTGAGTTAAAATCAGATACCTAAAAATATCCAATCACCAAGTATTAATGAACTTCTATATTCACTTTGTGTCAGGCAGTCAATTCAAAAGCTTGATTATCTCTAATCCTTGTAGTCAATTATTAAAATCCTTGATGCATTTCCTAAAATTTGGAATACAGAGCATCAAAAAATCCTTAAGTATTATAATGTCTTAATTGCTCAATACTATTTTCATTTTAAATCATTTATTTGATGATATCCAAAGTAACTTTTTTTTTAGTTTTTAATCTTAAATATCCAAAATAACACTACAGAAAACAAAATATGAAAAAAATTAAAATGTACCTTGTATTCAAGCCACAGGCAACCTATAAATAAACAAGAATTTGTAAGATAACAGTTTTCCTCCAACTGTCAAAAGAAGGTTATTGCTTTATAAAATACTTAAGAGACTGAATCACCTGTCTTCATATCATGAAACTATAGGAAATAAACTTGTTAAAATATTTAAAAAAAAAAAA